AAAAATAGGTACAGTAGTTTCATATAAGATTTTTTTTTTTTAAGATCCTCACCATTACTGGTTAGACTCGCTCCACTGGCTTGTCGCATTGGACAAATATGCGAGAATATGCAAATGAGTCACCAGCATCACCCGGATTTTTGGACAGGTTTCAACATTCTCCCGCGCGGAATAGAATAGAATCCAAGTATCGGCGCTCCGAATTGAGCAACAACCCACTAAGTCATTGCATCCCAGTTTCATATAAGATAAATATTCGTATCCTAGAAAATTTAGATTTAATTTAGGTCTACGCACGTATGCATCTTCTTCAGTTTAAATCTAATTTGACGATGCTTGAGGGATTGGAACTATAATAAAATTTGAATTTGTAATAAAAATTGGAAACTCATGAAAACATTCCTTATATGGGGGGATCGAATGGCTCAGTGGGTTGTTGCTCAATTCGAAGAGGCGACACTAGGGTTCGAAAAATGGATGATAACGACTCACTTATCCATCTATCTATCGCCAAGGTACTCCCTCGTATTTCTATCGCTAAGGGACTCGCTGGCATATTTCCCAATGCGACAAGCCAGCGGAGCGAGTTTAACCAGTAATGGTGAAGACTCTTAAAAAAAAAGATTCCTTATATAGAATAATTCACAGTTTTAAAAGAAGTAAGCATTTCGTTTTCGTTCTCATTTTTTGCATTATTCTCGCGGTTCATCCCGCATTTCTATATTTCGATAAATTAAAATCTGATAAACTAAAATTATTGCTTATCAAAATAGCATTTGAAATAAGTTGAAAGAGAAGCGCCAATCATTTATTTTTTACTTTAAAATTTTCATTAAAATTTTTGGAAAATTTCTATTTAATAAATAAATATTTCACCGAAATTTACCGCTAATTTTATTATAAAAATAATAATAAATTTTTTTTTTGAGAGACGTTTTTTTAATTAAAATTTATTAAAAATTATTAAAATTATTAAAATTTATTAAATAAAAATTTTTGAGTAATTTTAATTGAAAATTGTAAAATAGTTTCGACTGTTTGATTATTCGCTATATTTGCATAATCCAATTTCCAAAAAATCGTCGTCTATGACTAAAATTATTAACGAAATTATAAAAGAAAGTTTTAGAGTCTTTGCAAATTCTGGAAAATTTTTTAGCTACTAAAATAGTAATAGGTCTTAAAGAAAATGATCCTATAAATTTGTCAGTATGTTAGGGAAAAACGCGGCATTATTGAAATTGCTCGGAAAGGAGGGTTTTTTTTGAGGGAGATTGGGGAGGGTGGGTGGTGGAAGAGGGGGGTTGTGGGGCATTGGTTGATTCAAGAGGGGTACGGTACTTTCTACTTTCTACTTCAACCAGATCGCTTTTCCTCTATTCACTTTTTTCCTTGTGTACTAATATGGTTTTGAAATTTTTTGTAAATTTTGTAAATTTTAGTAATTCATTTATTAATCTAAGTCTAATATTTTTTTAATGAGTTAATATAGGCAAAAAATTCACTTTATTGTAAGAAAAAGATGATTCGCAATGAAACGATTTTATCGTTTTATCTTCGCGTGAACTGTGAACATCGTTTTTTTTCTTTAAAAGGCTCATTCATTCACAAAAAATCCTATTTTTATTAAATTTTTATTGCAAAAATTATTATTCAAAATTTCAGAAAAAAAATTTATCTGATTATTTATTAAAGTATTTAAATTTTAAATGATATTTTAAAATTTTATTTTATTTTTTTTTTAATGCTTTTGATGGGTGTAGAATGGCAGAGTGGGTTGTTGCTCCTCGCATTTTGAAGAGCCGATACTTGCGTTCTGTTACCAGCTGGGCTAAGCTTATCTTTTAAAAAAGCGAGTTGTGCTGGTGATTCTATCACCAAATGATTTCCCCGACAAAATTTGTCAAACCCGACAAGCTAGTTGAACGAATCTAACGAGAAATATTTTTTAAAAAAGCGGTCGTTTTCATTTTTTCATTCAATAAAAAATATTGAACAGAATTATGAAAAAAAAAATTTGAAATTTTTGTTTAGTTTTTCTTCTTTTTCGAACGAATTTCTTATTGATTTTATATTTTTTGAAAGAAAGTTTCTTGTTTAATGGTGAAGTATTTTCTTTTTCTAATGGCGTTCTAGATTTCGAATTCGATTGGCTTCACTTACTGTTCTATTGAGGTAGTTTCTAGCCTTTCTACTTCATGCTATACCTGAAATTAATATGTGTCAATCCTTTTTCCGAAATAGATTTCGCATTTACCTAGAATTTTCGAGAATAATCTTATTCTTGAACAGTTATGATTTTTTTTTGTCTAATTCTTGTAGAATACAAAGGAAATTGTTGAGAATTCAGAATTTCTTTAGCATTATTGGTTGATTGGACGAAAATTTCAAGGGAAATTAGGAAAATCAAATTGATTTTTAACGATAGTTTACAGTCATTTATCATTACTAATTTTAAAATAATTTTTGTTTTATTATTTCATTACCGCTTCAGTTGTTCTTTAATCATTAATCATTAATTTAAAAAGATATTTTCTGATTTGAAAATATCTGAAATTATTCTTTTCATTTCATTTTTATTTCGAAATATATTTGTTTTTTGTTCGGATAGTGCGGATTCTGCTACAAATTTCTGTTTCATTTTATGATTTAAAAAAAAAAAAAACAGATTTTGTTAAATATATTTTGAAAGCGCGGCGCTACATTAGCTACTTTTTTTTAAATATTCTTTATACAGTATAAACTGTATACAAAGTTTTTGACTTGGATAGCTTTGCTGTTATGGCCGTTTCGACGTTTCTGATATTCGATATCATATTTAAAATTAGATCATTTCTTTTTGAGCAGTTTGAAGAGTTATATATTGGTACAGTGCTCAATAATTTTTGAGTGCTCAATAGCGCTTCTAGCTTTGTAAAGCCCACATTTCGATTGGTTCTGTTATATGTCCTATTTCGAAATTTGATGCTAGAAAGTAGTTAGTTAGTGTGGTCATTGTTGGTACCGTCAGTTCACTTGGTATTCAAATGAAAATAGGTGAAATTATAAGAGATTCTGTGCAAAAATGGTCAAAAGTAGATAGTCTTGTAATTGGGCTATACGCATAAACCACCTTTATAAGTAAAAACCGAATAATGCTTTAAAAGTACCGAGTCATTCTTGTTTAATTCTTCCAGTCTTTAATAAATTTAAATCAGTATCTCAAATTTAGGTATGTAATTTATTGAATAATCTATATTTAAACACTGCAAAAGAATATTTTTGCAGGCGATCATTTTAAATTTGGATGAAAAATCATCCTATTTTATAGATGCGATTGGACGGAAGTTTTTTACTTTTTATAAGAAATGTTTTAGAACTAGATTTAAAAATTTATTGTACATTTTCAATAAATATATGTTAATGTATATGAATTTTTAAATATTTTAAGTAAACAAGCTAAAATTTTTGAGGACCTTTTAACAGTAATTCTGTTGTTCAAGTTAAAATTCATCCATTACTTATCATTCATTAAGCCGAGATCTGAATTACTAAAGATATAAATTGAAAATTAATATTATCAACAGTGATTGGAGATGGAGTAATTTTGACTTAATATGTGAGATATTAACTCACCGTTACCTATAGTAGCACTGGCTTGGATTCAGTTTTTAAAGTAGCGCTGTGGAGAGTGGTGGAGTGCTTAAAAGAGGATGGTCTGATCCATTGTTGCGTTTTACCAGTGTATCTGTATGTATGGGGAATTGCACATCTTTTGAAATAAGATCCGTCATGGTTGATTCTTTCCTCTATTCGTTGTGCGATGGATTGGATAATGGACACTGCTTATCAATACTCAAGATTTTCGTTGCATGCACGAGATGTACATTTCAATCCAGAGCATTATTATAATTGATCTTGAATGCGCTGATGACATCAAGAGGAATTGCAACAGATGCATGTATCGATGCATGCAACGAAAATCGTTTTCTGGACAGACGATTTTTTCGTCTTACAGAGCAAATTCTTGTAAAAAATCTTCGTTTATAAGTTCATCATCAGTTTTGGAAGTGCTAGACTTTATATACCAGGAACCTTTGACTGATTTTCCTTACGTACTAAGCAGATAAAATCTCACAAGATTGCACCCACCGTTTCTCGAACATCAGCCAAAATATTTATCTTGCTTAGACCTTCGCAGTGCGTCATAGGACATATCTTTCTATTGGGGGATTAGCAGTCCTGGATTGATATAACCAAGATATTTTAAATATATATATATATGGATTGTAAAAACGAGAGTGACTTCTATTGTTCTCAGATATGGCGTTGAACATGTTTATGTACACTTGTAGCCAACTGAATTATTCGAATGAATGGTGCATGCATATATTTTACCAGTTTATATTATATATTATGCGGTAAAGAGAGTTGTTATGTCGTTGAATTGATTTGAGGATCTTTTTTCGCTAAAGTGGAATATCATCTTGCTTAATTGATTTTAGGGCCTATGCAAAACTATAGGACAGTAAACGCAGCCCTGATGATTGCTTGATTTTTGTTTCACAAGATTATATCGTATTTTACACGGTAACGGTGGTGAAATTCGCTTATTTTTATTTATTCTTTTCATTTGTTTTAAATTTTATTTTAATTAAATCTTTGATTTTATTTTCTAAATGTATTTCACTTTATAATGAAAGCGAAGTATGGAAAAAATGGATGTTAAATATAACATATATTTATATATATATATATGTCTATATATATAGATATATGTTATATTTAATATTGATGACGAATGTTGCTTCGTAACTTTTTTTGTACCACATTCAAAGGAAATGAGGTGTTTAACGATTTTTTGAGGTATATTGTAGGGCGCGGTCTTTTTTTTTGCCGATCATTCTATCATTTAATGTTGTGCTAGCTAGTGGTTAAATTGGAAACATATTTCGGATTTCTTAATATCGTTTTAAATCTCTTCTAAAAATTCTAAAAATTTTCCTCGTTATTTGTGGAAGATGGGTTCATTTTTGGATAAGCCAAGGACTGAGAAATTGAACGAACAAGGCGAGGCCCATGTAAGCTATCATTTTTTCATTTATATGAATTATATTCAATATAAATTCCATTATAAATTTGGTTCCAATATAAATTTTATCAAAATGTCATATTTTAGGGTGTGAAATATGCCGTAGCTGCTATGCAGGGCTGGCGTACTGACATGGAAGATGCACATACTACTCAGATTTCAATGTCAAATGAGATGCCTTTTTTGAATTGGTCATTTTTTGCCGTTTTTGATGGACATGCTGGTTCTAATATTGCTCAACAGTCTGCCGAAAATCTTCTTCAGTATATATTGGCTACTCCGCAATTTAAAGAAGTAAAAGGCTTTACTAAGACTTGACTTGACTTTGCTTTATTTTTCATTAATTGTTTTTTATATAGTTTGAAGTGGGATAAGAAATAATTTTGTTTATGTATCTTTTAAGTAATTGTATGGATATGAGATTTTCTTGAATATAGAGGATTCGTTATTACCCCATTTATTAATACCATTTTCGTTAGCGCAGATTTGATTTTTTATTTATAGGTCGTTGAAACTCTTAAGAAAAATGATGGGAATATTAGTGATGATGTTTTACATCAGTTAGAAGCAGGAATAAAAACTGGTTTTTTAAATCTCGATGCAAAAATGCGTGAAAAAATCGGGCCGGAACATCAAGAACAAAGTGGGACGACAGCAGTATGTGCTATGATTACGCCAACACATATGATACTTGTAAATCTCGGTAAGATTTAAAAAATATATTAAAATTAACCTTCATGACACTTTAAAATATATTTTTATAAATATATTTTTTTTTACTTTATCTTTATTTTATTTTCCTGTTATATCTTTGAAAAAAATGTTTTAACAACTTTCAGGTGATTCTCGAGCTGTTTTGTCTCGCCGTAATGCGCCTACATTTGGTACGGAAGATCATAAGCCATATAATGAGCAGGAGCGTAGGCGCATTGAAAATGCTGGCGGTTCGGTTATGATTCAGCGTGTCAATGGAAACTTGGCTGTTTCACGTGCACTTGGAGATTTTGAATATAAATCAGAATCACATTTAAATCCTAGCCAACAAATGATCAGTCCAGAGCCAGATGTATATGTAATAGTCAGAAATCGGGTCTAATTTTCATTTCCTCTTTCATCAGATATATTTTTTTATCAGATATATTTCATCAGATATATTTTTTAAGTAAAAGTTTCTACTGAGAATGATAAAAATTTAAATTGTTTTATGTTCGTAATCTTATAATTTTTTTTCTGAGAGCGTTTGCCACTGGTTACGCTTGCTCAGCTGGTCTGATTAGACAAATTTTGCTAGGGAGTCACTTGGCAATAAGAGTGCAGGTGAGTCGTCAGCTTCATCTAGAATTTTGGAAGGTAAATTTATTGCTGAAGGAGTGGAACTCCACCATCCGGGATTTAACCTATTCTAAATGACATTCCAATATCTTTTTAAGAAAGGAAGTATAAAAAGTGGGGAAAGATGGGAAAGACATGTCTGCTACGTGCAGGTGAAAGTTTTATATCATTTCAATTTTTTAGGAAGTGGATGAATTTTTGTTGCTGGTTTGTGATGGTGTCGTCGATGTCATGGATAATTCTGAACTCTGTCGTTTTGTGACTTCTCGTCTCAAAGTAACCAGTGATCTTCAAGATGTTGCTAATCAGGTCACTTTTGGCAAACTTTTAGTGGTTTAATGTTTATTGTTTATGAAAAATTTAGAAAATTCTAAGATTCTTCAGAACGGTGTTATTTTGAAAAATACATTCTTATAATCAAGGAAAATATATTCGCTATGGTTTATGATGGTGAATGAATTTTAAACTTGGTTTAAAAGATATAATTTCTTACAATTAACAGTAGTATTTATGAAAAATTATAGCGATTAAAGTATTTATATGAAAGGTTGTTTTGAAGGTACTTGATGCATGCCTTTCAAAAGGTTCGAAGGATAACATGACAGTAATATTACTTTGTTTCGAAGTTGCACCGCAGATCGATCCAGAAGCAGTAAAAAAAGAAGAAGAATGGAAAATGAAAATTGTTAGTCGAGTCGTCGGTAATCTCATATTGCATTTCATACGAATTTTTGGTATAAAACATTTGCATATTTTTTATCGCGAAGAAAAAATGGTGTTATATAATTGTGAATTCATTTTTTTTCATTGTAGCAATATTAGAAGAAAGTGGTAATAATGCAGTGGATGCTGAATCAATTATGCATCAATTGGTTGGCGATGTTCTTCAGACTTGTCCACCCGATGTGAATTTTCATTCTGCCCGTACTGTAGTTGAAGATATTCTTGCTTCACGAAACTTACCATAAGTAAAGGCTTGTCTTTCCTTTCCATTTTTTCCTAACAATACAGTGGTAAACTATACTTATTTTTATTAAATATATTTTAATTTAAATTTTGTAGTATCATTTTTCTTTTATTTACTTTTTATTACATAAATTTTTTATCATTTCGATTGTGATAGTTCAGTGCAACTATTAGCCCTATGTGATTGTGGAGCTTTACGGCTCTACCCACGATAACACGGACTGAAAATTTACTTTTTTTAATGAATAGCACATATAAAATTGTTGGAAGGGAGGAAGTATTAAAAAAATTTCCTTTCTTTAAGTTTTAGGTTCATTGGAAAATGAGAAATCCAGATAGTAAATTTTTTCTGTCATCAGTGGTTTTAAAGGCTCAACATATAAAATCAGATTGTGGATGTAAAGATTGCAGGTTTGAGTCCTGCCATAGTCTCACTTTTATTATCTTTTTCCTACTGTCGTAGGTGTAGGTACTGTATTTTCAAAAACACTGAAAGTTATAATTTTTTTCCAGTGAAAACTGTGTGCTGTTGAATTTTGTTTATAAAAAACTATAAAAATTTCTAAATATTTGCAGTGAATTTGCCTGAGTTTAAAATGGAGAGTAAGAAGGATTCGAACCTTTCTTCGATTTTTCATTTTTTAGTAAGTACACCGAAGTTTATAATGAAAATGCTCCGAAAAATAGAGGGCGTAGTTGCAATGGCAAAATGCAGTTTTGTAATTGGTTAAGCCGCTATATTATATAAAATTCATTTATTACATATTTATATTTATATTATATAATTATAGTTCAATACTTCACTACATTTAATTAAACATATTTAAGGATTTTTTTAAAAAAACATTAAGCATTTTTTTTTTTCAAATTTGAGCTGATAGAAAATCATTTATGTAGATTTCAGAAACATATTCATAAACGTTGGCAAAATCATATTTTCTTCTTTTAATGAAAAACTATGGAAATTCTCAAGACTTATTTTTAAGAAATTGATCCATCATCATTTCTCATTTGGTTTTCCCATAATTTTTTGGTTTTTTTTGATTCTTTGTATTTTAACTGATTTATTATTTTTCTCTCAATATTTTTTATTTGAGCAGTAATTCTCATTCTTTTCTCTTCATGCCCACCTCTCTCCGCATTCCTCCACCCCTCATCCTGGGAAAAATACTTCATTGTGATATCAGTGATGTTATTAAATCATTATACTGAGCAACTTAATGGAGTGGAAGGCATTATTTGGCATTGTGTGCTCGTAAAGCACAGTCGCATTTCTGAAATTCACGAATTAACTTTTTTTGCATTATTTGTTCTTCTAACAACGCTCACCATTGCTGGTTAGGCTAGTTGAAAAATTGTTCCCAAGTCTTGTGATCTGATGTCACTTTTGAAATTTATGGAAGGCACTTGTTCGTTGTGTCCGCAGCGTAAATCCCTATACTGCTGGGTCATTTTCGACATCGTTTTCAGGATCTCTCATGATTATATATCTATCCTTGTCTGGACTGAATATTCTGGAATTTGATCCCAATTATCACTAGATTTGGCATATAGGAAAATGTATGTCTATTCATATGGCCAGTGGCGAAAAAAGTGACCTCAATAATATGAATGCAGGTGATATATGAGCGAAGGATGCAGCTATATTAGGTTTTGTTCAGCGCGTAAATGGTACTTTCGGTAGAGTGCTGCAGATAGATTTTTATTTCACTCTCTTGGCCATGTTTCGTTGCCCTTATTTCGAGCATTAATTCCAGATGTTTTGGTTTTGATGCTAATTTCTAGGCGTTTCCATAATGATTTTGCCAGATACAAGACAGCATTTCTTAGATACAGCTGAGTTCGAGTTGGCCTGTTTAACTATTTTCTCTAATAGTAGAATGTTTAAAATCTCGCGTTTCAACTTGTGTTAACTTTATAAAAATAATTTTTTATCAGTATTTGATTTGTTTTCGTCTTAATCTGCATTAATTTGAGGACCAGTTTTCGCTATTTCGACATAAATCGTAGTTTCTGTTCACAGTTCTTTATAACTGTCATCGAAAAAGAGAAGGTATCGTTTAGCGCGAAGTTTGTGATGGTATTCTGTGGATAGTTTCTGATTCATCATGCCGCAAAAGATTGTTCTCCAAATACAAATACATATACCTACTTCCTCCGGTGGCTCATCCAGGCTGAGTCCCATGGATTTCAATTAATATTTTTCATCTTTTTTCGATAAGATTTCTCAAAAATAAGCGAGGAATGATAATTCGATTTTTCAATTTGTTCCTTTTAATCAGTTTTAAATTAATGCAATGAGCAATGCGACTTCTGTTGAATAAGCCAGGTGAAATTCGTCGTTCTTTCCTTATCGCAGGACGAAGAACAAAGAAATAACGAAGAATTCATTCACCTTTTTCGTGCATTTTTTTGAATTTATCCTTTGCTGTTGAATCCGATTTTCCTTTTTTCTTACATGATGCTTATAAATTATCTCTATAGCTTGTCGATCTGATATATTTATTTATTACAGGTTCATGAAATTTATCAGCTATATTTTCTTTATCGGGGTTTTTTGTTTTTAGATGAAAAAGATATATTACTCGATGTATTTTTGGTGTCTGTTTTTCTTTTTATTAGCCTTTATATTTTGTGCTTCTTTTTATGTGTTGATGTGAGCATTCAGACTTTTGAATGACCTTCAAATGCATTTTCCGGAAATTTCTCCTGAATCACTTTTTAAGATTGATTTAAAAGTTCCGCTAATGCTGTTTTCATTTCGAAATGGAAAGAAAAACGGAATGCTTACTTTCAAATTTATATTTCCAGGTGATTCTTTCGCTTTCTAAAATAATTTTTGTTCTTCTAATGATTTTTTAAGATTGCGGAAGAAATTTAAATTATTTGAATATTTTGAAATGTTGCAGATATTGTACAAAAGCAGTCTTTGAAATATAATTTAACTTTGTTGAATTCCACTTATTCTTCAATTTATACTTCTTTAAAATTTATTTTAAAAAATTTAAAAATTTCTCTGACCATTGCAATTATTATCAATTATTAAGGTGAGGGAAAGAAACTGATGATGTGGTTGTATTTTTGCTAACATAAGGATAGATATTCTGCCTTGAGGTCTTAAAAATTCACACTGAAAGTTTCTGAAAGAAAAATTTATTTCTTCAGCTTATTTCAAGAGGTAAAATTGTGCTAAAACTTTCAAGGAAAATTGATCACATGAAAAATGAAATAAAATCCTAATACTTATCATTTATCTCATTTATACTGGTATATTCAGTTATTTCCACAATTTTTAAAAGATTAGGTGAGATTTTTCTATTAGTTATAAAATTAATATGTCTAGAGAAATTTTTAAAATTAACGAAGGCTATTTGCCTAATTTAATATTTGGGGATTATTTGATTTTATACAACATTTTAGATGTAAATTGATTTTTTTATGATATGATAACTATTTAATTATCGGTTATAATAATTTGCGGCTTTTAATGTGCGTTGCATTTTAAAATTTGCGCAGGCGCTATTGTTTCCTCATTTCCTTTATTAGAATGAACGGTTCATTTATTATAGCGATGTTATGCCTTCACCTCATATATGTGAATTATTCTTTATTCTTTATTCACGTTTCTTTTTTATAATATAAATTTCATAATAAAAAAATTAGTAAAGAAATGAGGATTTACATTTTTTGAAATTTTTTAAATCAATTTTATATACTTACTTTTAGATTGAGTTTTAGTTTAAAAAGGATATAAAAATTTAAACAATAAATTGGCAATAATTGATCGCTGAAATGTTTTATGAAAGTGTATTTTTCTATTTTGATTTTCCTATAAAATAATTTGAATTTTTGCGATTTTTATAGGGTAAGGATTCTAGTTTTAATTGAAAATTAATCATGAAAATGGCCAAAATGTTGATCACCTAAATCGCCATTTATCTCTCTCTATACGCATAGCCCGATGATTTATTGCGCATTGAAATGCATAATTACAAGTGACAGTTTCCCTATCTTCTTGCACAGTTGCGATTCACAATGTACTAATTATATATGTGTATATATAATCCTTTCATCTATTGTTCAATGTAATGATTTTGATAATAAATTTTCGCAAGCACGTCATTGATAACGATGATTCGCATATATTTGTCGATTTATCATAAAATATGAAATGGATTGTTATGAGAAATGATTTTTAATTAAAAAATTATTTCAACAAAATTAATATTCATAAAAATAATAATAAAAATATTTTTAATAATAAAAAATTCATAAGAAATAATGAAAAATTGAACGAAAATATAAATAAACGTGGAAATATATTTTTAAATTCTTTACGAATTCATAGGATCGTTTTTTTTTTATTGCAATTATGATACGACAATTATGATATGCTAATCAATTATGATAATTACGATAATTAACATTCATTTATATCAATAAGGGTAATATTTCTTTTTTTGTTGAAAATAAAGAGTTTCTTACTAAATTTAATTGATAAGTCATTTAATCAGTTATCACGGATTACATTTAACTGGAAATTTTTTAAAAAATTGAAATTTTTTCCATAAATTTTTTCCATAATTAAGAAATTTACAATTTTTATTCTCTGATAAATCGAAATGGGATTTAGTATGTTTGAAATATTGTAAATCGATGAATGGCAAACGAAAAATTGAATAAATAACACAACTTCATGAATTCTATAAATTGTAGGAGTCAGCTGAAAAGCAATTTCTAAGTTTATCGATAAAGCTTATTCCGTATCAATCATCAATCATCATCGTATTGGCCTACAAATCTAATACAAATATCTGATCAAAGAAAAATACCATGAACGATCATTTTTTGCAAATAGTAGTTAAATTATTAAAATTTACATAGAATGAAATGAAACGCATGATCTGTGTTCGATTCTAATTGGCATTGTTCTTCAAGACCTCCAAATCTATGATATCCTCATCCGTATACAATTACATCGAATAAATAATTGCGTTAAATTTTTTTACTTTCAAATGGAACCAAATATGCGTAAGAGGGAGGTTGAAAAAATAAAAATATTTTAATATTTGCAAATATTCAAAATCTTTTTGTAATATGCAAAAACTGCAAATTTCCATTTTGCTTTTTATTATTTTCAAGTATTTCATAAGGCTCAGACTCGGATTTATAAGAATTTTAACGATACTACGATTATGATGATTCTACTACAATCAAAAAATCACTGCAGCGAGGGGTTCTGAAAATTCGATGTGAGTCCACTCTTGTAAATTGCCGACCACGTAACATGCAAAGCTTCCGTTGAGTTACAAATCTCGATATTTGTCGTATTAAAAATAAAACTAAAAAATTTTTGTATACAGTGCAATGTTATCTAGTAACTTATTGTAGCACTTGAAAGGAATTTATGGTTCTTCTGGATCCTCGGGTCCTTATTTTTGGAAACAACGACCGCAACCGACGATAATTTCATTGATCTATAGTTATCAAAATTTTTCTAAAATTGATAAAAGACGCGCTGAAAAAAATATTACTCTATTAATCAATGATGAAGATTTATGGTGTATATCAACTGAATTTATGTGTATATGTGTATCAAAAAAAAACAAATTGTTCCATTAAGCAGGTTTAGGAAGTTCCTTTATAGAAAATAACTTGTTTTGCGATTATTTTTTTATCAGTTCTTTTTCTTTTTTTCACGGCAATTATTTAATGATTTAAGAATGGACAGTTGATTTAAACGGTGCACTTTTCATTTCCGAAATAATATCGGTTTAAATAAAGAAAGAGAGATTTGATAAAGGTTTTTGGGTCATCAGTTCATGTCGATCATTAAATGATCATAATAGTACATGTTGGGGAAGATTTAGAGCCATGAAGCTTGTTACGATTTTATTTATCCATATATCCATGTCCGTAACGTTCAGATCGGCGTCAACTCGTCGTCAAAAAATTCATCTATCTTCAGTTGAAGAAACAATTTGCGAAGAACCGGATGATTTGGTTTGGATTCGTTTATTTCTTTTCTAAAGAATATTTTCCTTGAACAACTTTTTCAATTCCTTGAGAATATTTGAATAAATCGAGCGATTCGTTTTAACTATATCTTTTTATAAGAATAATTTTATGAAATTTACATCGCTCCAAAATTGATTAAATTTGAAGTGTTTAGAATTACGTATATTTTTTTATGAAATATTGAAAGAATTTTCATGAAAATATATCGAAAATAATCATTGGTACTGACTGTTATTGTGAGTTTTATTTACTCGAATTAATATAGTTTCTTAAATTTGGAGCGATTTTCTTCTCTTTTTTCCACTTCTTCCTCTGCTAAAAGTTCACGCTTTGGATCAATTCATTTGATTCTTAGGATGAATTCTTTTTTCCAGAGAGTATCTCTAGGATAAAAGTATAAATAGTTTTTCAGTAGAACCTCAATTTTGCTTTTAACGACAGTTTGATTTCGTTTAAGAGGATCCATAATGCTTAATCTTAATGCAAGCTACCTAACGATGGTGCTTCTGCTCATGTCGAACATAATGAAATTGAACAATTTGGCTCTAATTTAGTTGTGAAATTAATGAAAATTGAAAAATTGATAGACGCGAAATTTTGATTCCATGGCAATCTCTACAAAAAAATTAATAAAAAAGATCGAGTTTCTACGGATTTTTGTCTAAATTAACCGATTGTTCAGTTTTTTAGCGATGTTCGAACAGTTTTTTTACTAATTTTTATCTAAATTAACCGATTATTCAATTTATTTTAGCGGTTTTATGTTTGATTAGTTGAGCTTCCGAACAATGCTTAATTGTCTTATTCATGTTCGTGTTCGTGCGATAAGCTAAAATTTAATTAATTCCAAAAGTTCAAACATTATAGCTTACAGGGTTTGTCACATAATTTCATAGAATATTTGTTATCTTATCAGTTATCAGTTATCTTTACAAAATTTGTGGATGATTACGTAATGATTTATAAAAATAGACCAAAAGGCCGGAAAAAATTTGTTTTGCAATACTTTGGTACTTATTCACTCATTTTGAAGCACCTACATATATGCGTTAAAAAATCAAGCAAATAAAGAATCGGCTATATTCCAGAATATAAGTATATGTAGTGCCACAGCTTCACTATGGAAAATCGCTTTTTGAAAATAAAAACCAATTAGAAACCGAAAAATCAAGAAATCCTTGAAAAATCCTCTTCATATATTTTTATCTGTTACGATATAAGATTTTTTAAATATATATTTTATTAGACTCCTTGAGAATTGGGATTGGGATTTTTAAGGAAAAATGTGCTCATAACATAATCTGCTTCGTTGGAAATTGTATGATGAAAAATCTAACTATAAGACAAGGATCGACCTTTGGCCACTGAATTGGTGATTCTTATCAATAATTTTATTCCTTTTATCAAAACATTGGACTTCAAACAACACCATTATTTTCCTTTTGATGATATAAAAATCGTCTCACTGAAAGTGAAAGATTTCTTAAATAACAAGCGATCGACCATTGTTTTCCGAAAAACCCCGATTCAATTTTTTTTCTTTAATCAAGTTTGATGATATTACAAAAAAAGATCCAATGCCTTCAATAATATCAATGCCGATTTTATGGCCATAACAAAGCTGTATGTTTCTGAAAGAATTTATCAAATCAGGCGGCAATATTCATTTAGAATTTAGAGCAGATTTTTGCCGATTTTAAAGAATTTTAACTTAATTTGTTTGTGACCTGTAAAAATTCCTATTCTTAGAAATGAATAAATATTCATTTTTCATTAATGAATCTATTTTTTGTTTAATGTTGAATTTTTAACATTGAAGCCTTATGTTAATCAAAATGTACGAAATCGAAATCCAGAAAAAATTTGGAAAATATTGAAAAAAATCTATAGTCTCTGTCATGAACCAAATCTTATAGGATTTGCGCCTTTTCGATTGGTATAAAGAATCGTCAGATTCGTATTCAGCGGAAATAATTGATGAGGATTGGATTCCCATGTTTCCAGAGCCAGATATTTGTAAAAAATTACCAGAAACAGGTATAGACACTTCAACAATGCAACGATCACTTTGCCCATGGCAGTGGAGGTTTGCGTTGATTTTTCTAAAATTTCTTTTTTTTGCAATTTAAAATTAGCAATATATAAAATGTGGATATAAATAAAAATATTAACTAGCTTGCATGGTATAAATTTTATTGCATAATGATTAGTTAAATGAGTAGTTTCGTGTGGCAGTTATCAGAAGTTATCAGAAGATGTTCATAGCAGAAAATATTTCATAAGTGGGATTGAAATAGAATTACAATATTTGTTGGATTTTAGTTTTATTATTTAAAATTGTTGTCGAAATTATGAAAGTTTTCCCCTTTTCCCCTTTTTTTTCCTTTCCTAGAGAAAGCAATAGGCAAGAAGACATGATTTGCCATTTATGACAAAGAAAAACTCCAGCTTCAATTTATTTATTTGAAAACAAACAAGCCGGTCGACAAGCGTCATGCGCTTGCTCTAATAACAGAGTGCATGTTAATGGTATAATGAGCATATTAAATATATACCAGTCCAAGGAGGATGGATCAGTGGGTTGTTGCTTAGTTCGGAGTGCCGATGCTGAGGCTCTACTCCATGCAAAAGTAAATCTGTCCAAAAATGCGAGCGATGCTTGCGAATTACCTGTATTTTTGTCGCCAAGGGATTCTCTATTATATTTATCTCGTACCACAAGCCAGCAGAGCGAATCTAACAAGTGATGGTGAATGCTCTTACAAAAAAATGTTAGTGCCAGTATATCAGTACTAGCTAGTACGTTCGATATTATGAGACCAAAATCTCCATTCCAGTTATGTCTCATATTAGACAAATTCACACCTTTTTAAAAATATTAAATCTTGTTGGCTCGTCAATAAAATTTCCTGTAAAATAACGAATATTGTGAATATTTGGCCAACCGAAATACTTTACCCTCGTAGTGAATCGGCAGCCGAAGATTATCCATTGATTGCCAAGCAGCTCTTGCTAAGCCAAAACCTAAGCTTAGGCTTAAAAGCTAGAAAAATTTTGAAAATTTCCATTTATATTTTTTAATTTTTAAATCTGAATATTCTTTATTCAGATTAAATCATGACGAGCATCGCGAACCGAAAATCTTATCCGAAGCATATTGCTTATGTCGAAAAAGTCGAGGAGTCTCCGGTGCATTTTGTATGCCAATAAAAAGAGAAGTTGCCGTATTGAGGAGGATTCTGTGCAATCCTATAACAGGTCACTATGAATATGTTCGTGAAATGCAAACTATAACAGTTGGCTGCCATTCAGTTTTGCCGAGAACTCAATTCGCTTCATCTATTGGTGAACACTATTCAGTTCTCTTTAATAGAGAAATCTAAAATTCCTTCTAACTGTGCTATAATAAAACTAAACGCCAAATTTTCACGAATTAGTTCACGAAATTATCAAAAATATTCTTTTTACGGATGAATTTCATATATATTTCGTGTATGATCTATGAATTTTATCATTCTTTTAGGGTTTAGTTTAGAATTTAGTTTAGTTCCATCGAGTTCCATCGCTTTAAAAGTTTCTTGCTCAAATCCTTGATAATTATGTGTAAATAAATGATTTCATTGTATTTTATTTTTAAAAAAAGAATTATAAAAAGAAAACAAAAAAAAAAGCCTTAAAGTTGATATTTGTTTCAAAAATAAAAATACATAAAAATAAAAAATAAAAAAAAAAAATAAGTATACAAAAATTATATATTCAACGATAATCGAAAATCTATTTATAGGCATTTTTCTTATGGAAATGATTTTAATGATTTATTATTATTATTATTATTATTAGTTGTTCAGTTGTATACGAATCGTCTTTAAAATATTCAAAATTTAAAATTTTATTATTTAAAAAATAAAAATTATTTTTGAGAAAAAGAAAAAAAGAAAAAAAACACGAATATAAATCATAAAATTATAAATGATTTCTGATAAATAATGAATTTTTAAAAATATATTTCTCAATGGAAAACGCGAAATTATCGCTTTAGGCAATAAAAATTTTTTTTAAAAAAAATTAATTTTGAAAAATTTATTTAAAATTTTTCGACCGAAATTTTTGAAAAAAATATTCGTTTATCAATCGCTTAAAAAATAACGAAAATTTATTATTTTTATTTTTTTTTTTGTTTTTTAAATTTTTTTATTTTTTTCTTATATTTATAAATTTTATTTATTATTATTATTAATGCGAACCGATTCACATAAAATTTTTCCAAAATTTAATTTTAAATATAGCGAATGGTCCGATAATGAAGCAGGCAACAGCACTAATGCGTTTGAAAAGGTCCAAAAGCCAAGTTCATTAACGGTGCCAAGAAAACACCGCTGACTCCAATAACCCATTTCTAAATCCTATTTGAAAAATTGGATTTTGAAACGATAACGAAAATTGGCTAGCAGCCAACAAGTTTATTTCAAACTAAGGGAAAAATAAATAAGCGATGTCGAGTAGTTCGGGGGTGACGAAAGGTGAGGTGATATTAACGATTGCAAAGCTTGTGGGGGCGTTGGCAGTGTCTTATACGTCGATTCGATGGATCGCGAAATACATAGATCCGGCTTATCAAGCGAAAGAACAAGACAAGCATAAAGTATTCCATGTTCTTTTATTATTTTTCTATTTTGAGGATTTTTTTCTTAAATTCAGTCTGCTTAATTCGTTGAGGAGAGGGGTGTTTGGGTCCTTTATTGCTTTCTCCAAGAGGAATGGCGGAATGAATTGTTGACTCCGTTTACTAGGTAAATGTAAACCTTTCATTAAAGGTATAGTCCATGCAATTAGTGCAATTACCTGGCACTCACCTATATCTCTATCCCCATTTAACTTACCCGCCCATCCTACTAGTTAATTAGTCAATTTTGCGAGTTATTAGGAGATGAAGAACTATTTTTGAATAAAAATAAACACTATAGGTTGAAGAAATAAGGAATAAAAGAAAGAATAATAAAGAGAAAATACTGGTCGACTATTTTATTTTGTTGAACTTATAATTAGAATTATATCATTCATTACTTTTAAAATTTATAATTGTAAATAATTTAGTAATTATTAAATGAGATTTGAATGAATTAATGCTTTTTTTTATGCCAAAAATATCGCTTCTTTTCCCATATTTTATTCATTTCTGGCAAATATAATTTTTTATAGGCATCAAATCTATTAAAATCACTTGGCTTAAATAGATCAATCGAACTGAATGAATATGAAAATCGTATCGCGACGCAGTTTGTTTCATCAGCCGAAGTAAGAATTTTTCTCCATTTATTCACTTTTTAATTATTTTATTGTGAATATTTTATTGCGAAAGATTATTGCAGTTTTTTTTTGTAATAAATTGTAATGGTTTTATCACGAAATTCATTTTTATAATTTAGTATTACTTAATATGAATTAAATTTAATAGTTACCATATTTTTCGAAATTTTTATTAAAAATTTACGAGTAGAAAAAAATAAGATTTTCGAAAATGTTTTTACGGTATTCGTCAAATTTAACACATTTATTTCCAATTACTGGGAGTAAATTGGTCGGATTTGGGTGGATGTGAAGAATTGATTCAAGAACTGAATGACAGAATTATTTTACCTTTGAAAATTCGAAATGAAGACGAACAGTTTTCGTTATCTTCGACTTTGTTAGCACCTCCTAAAGGTTGCTTGCTTTATTCTAACTATTTATTCTTTCCGAAGTTTTTTTAAAACAACCGTTTTAATTAATGTATAACGAAACATAATTTTTTCATCTGGGCAAATCTTTGTGGGGCAGCCATAGGAATCATCACAGATTCTTGTTTCTATTATTTTTGTTTTTTTAAAGCAGTATTTTTCTCTTTAGGAGTATTGCTTTATGGCCCACCAGGCTGTGGCAAAACCCTTATCGCCAAAGCTCTTGCTCGAGCTGCTCATGCTCGATTTATCAATTTGCAAGTGTCGAATTTAGTCGATAAATGGTATGGTGAATCACAAAAGCTTGCTGCTGCTGTGTTTTCTGTGGTACGAAATAAGTTTTTTGGTTGTGAATTGTTCAATTTCAATTTCATTATGGTTATTCTGGAATTTTCGAAATAGTTTTTTCAGCCTGAATAGTCTTATTCACCTAATTTGTTTTTTCCAACAACTTTTCTCTTATTTTCGATTATCATGTTTGTAATTTATTTTCAGGCGGAAAAATTCCAACCCACAATTATCTTCATTGATGAGATTGGTAAGAATTATTTGATCGCACTCTACGACGTGGACACATTTTTTAGCACATTTTTTTTAGCATATTTAACTTATTTATTTGGTAATACATTTGGTAATATATTTGGTTTTTAATTTAGATAAATATTAAATAAATAAATAAATGAACAAAGAAAATGGGAATTGGAAATTGGTGATTTTTTCGGATATTCTATAGTTGGCTATCGAATATTATAGTGGATGATCTCTTTTTACATTCCAGTGTATTTAGATTCATTTCTTCGAGATCGAAAATCGCATGATCATGAAGCAACTGCCATGATGAAAGCCGAATTCATGAGTCTTTGGGACGGTTTCGCTTCCTCAAGTTTGTTTTTTCCCTTTTTAATTTTGATATATTGGCCATATTTTAATTTCAGTAGTACAAATTGTTGTGATTCTGGGAAAATATCTGGATAAAAGGGTGTTTCAGATGTTAACAACTTATTTTCCAGATAGCGCTGTGATACTTATGGGTGCTACAAACAGACCTCACGACGTAGATAGCGCTATTCTTCGGCGTATGCCTGCTCGATTTTTCGTTCCTTTACCAGTATGTTTTGTTTTTTTTATATTATAATAGAAGTTTGTAGATTTACTTTCTTTCTTAAATTCTAAAAATTTAAAATTTTCGATAACTTTATGTTTTACGAAAATTATAGCTTTATAATAAATAAATATGTAAGCTTCAGCTAAAAGTTTTTAAAAATTATAATGGTTATTAAAAATTTCTTTAAAAAACACTAAACGTTTATTTCAGAATGCAAAATCACGCGCAAAAATTTTACGTGTGATTTTGCGCGACGAGCCATTGGATTCAGATATCGATTTCGAACGCGTTGCTGAGCTGGCCACCGATCTAAGTGGTTCAGATCTTAAAGAAGTGTGTAGGCTTGCTGTAGTTAATCGAGTGAAAGATCTGATGGGGCAAGGAAGCAGTCTGTAGGTTCTAATATTGTTGGCAGCGCCATTAAAAAAGATTATGAAAATGTGGATCAAAAGAATTGGTGGAAATATGGATCATTTTTTAAATTTTTTCATTTTTTAGATATGACGAAACGTCTCGGTTAATACGTGAAGTAGATTTAATTCATGCAGTGAAAAAGTACATGGCAACCAATTTACGAAATCCTTTGGCAATGTTTATTCCGGAATCACTGGATTGATTTTTTGCAAAATTTTATTTGTTTGTTCTCTTGCCATATTTGGTCTGTTGTTTATGAAAATCCAATTTTCAATGGTGGTATTTCCTTATTTTTTTTCATAAAATATTTTATATTATCCTATCTGACATGGTTAAAGAGAGCTTGGTTTCAATGGATTTGGAATTCAATTCCATGAGCAATCTTGAATATTGACCAATGATGGCACTTCTTTATTTCGTGCTTTTTATTTTAACTGTGTACATACTTCCACTGCGTTATTTTAATGCTCAAAATATTGCGATGATCTTATTATAAATTAAATGAAAAATTAAGTAAAGGCAAATCTTTACCAGTAATTGAAGGTGGACTAGATTGGACTATGTTGCATCGTTCACAGAGGAAGATCTTGTCTATATTGCTGCGGTTGCAAGCAGCCCAAAGCAGGAAATAATCTTCATTTAGAAGCATAAAGCCAACAAAACAGCTGAAAAAGACAAGTTTAGGTTGGATTCTTGAAACGCTGCCCACTGTCTTTTACAGCTCACTTAACGGATTAGAACATATTAATATCGAAAAAGGAGCTTAAATAACAATGGCAAAGCAGCTCTCTATTCCCCAAAAATGATGCATACTGTGACGACTGTGTCAGGCATGGAATCAGTTTATTGATTTTCCTGGAGGTTTTCACCTTCCATCTGCTGATTAGGCTTATGGCAGGATGCACTCTAATTAAGCTGGGTCCAGACAGCGGTGCAAGCTAAATAAAAAAAAAATATTGGAACGTCGCTTCAAACATCGCCATTATTTTTTTAAAGTATTGCTGTTATCTTCCGTCCAATTCAGAGAGGGCGTTGTGAGGGGTGAAATGACCTACTTATGACTTATTGCCAGTGTATATCACAACAAGTCGAGGGCTAAGGCTGAATTTTTCGCTTATAATATTAGGCTACGCGACATTGCAATAAAATTTGGGATCCTTAATATTCTAAATAAAACGAAACAGTTTTCGTCTTTATTATCGAACTTTTATAAAATATTTCTTTTATTAATTCATCGGTTAAGAAAGTAGTAGGCTTTAAATATTTTCGGTCCACTCTTAAGACGAACGATGAAATGGACTTTTGCGTGTACCATACTGCGGTGTGCACTCTCTTGTTATGGCAAGAATGGAAGACATGATCAGTAGGATTCGAAGAAGTAGTCGATCTATCTTTGCCTATTCATGCCTGCACTTTAACGGTTGCACTGGCTTTTGTTCGAATATCATCGTCGTTGCTGGTCAGAACGTGTTCTTTAGTGTTCATAGTAGGAATTAGATTTGAACTTATAGGACCGGTGATATGATATATGGAACTTAGCGAAAAAATGAGTTTTTATCGATGAATTATTTCCAAATATTGAGCGACTTGGAGACGCACCACTCATTTAGCTAGCACCAGCCTAAGCGCTATTCGTGCGAGCTACAAAAAGAATGTAAAATTTATATTTGAATTTACACTTTTTTAGGCCAACACTGCAATAAATATGTGCAATGTTCACAAACACAAAATAAGCGAAAATTATGAAATTTAAAGGAATTAAAGGTTATTACATTAAGGTACCATGCACTGAAAAATGTAAACAATAGTGCTACCAGGGCCCGAATCCGAATATTCTGAATAACGAAACCGTAGTTCCATAACTTATTCGTTAAGCAATCCTGTGTAGCTATTGTTCGAACTTTTCAGATTTTCATGAGAAAAATCTATTACGAATTTTTTGTTGCAAAAAAAGACGTCGGAAATTGACGAATATCGTATTTTAATTATTAAAATAATCAAGAAAAAAATTGTATCGAAATGAAAACTTTTAAAATCGTTGTGATGAAAAAGATCAGAGTGCGGATCTTTCGAAAGCGAATTGCATCGTGTGATTTTATTGTGCAAGTAGTATCAATTCATAGTTCCAGGTCGTAAGTACCATAGGTCTGAGTTGTCGTTTTTCAATCATATGAGCGCTATAATTATTAGTGATAAGGCAATGCTTTCGAATCACTCGACATGCGTGCTAAGCGAAATATCCTAAGTTTGACCTTGAGCGCTAAGCCAAAGCCTTAAAAGCATCAACTTTGTCATCTTATACGGTTCACCTCCTTCCCGTAAAAATCTCTCAACAAGTTTATTACGAAATTTAAAAAAAAGAAATTGAAATTCAAACGAAAATATCCTATTAGAGTCCACGAATAATTGTAATTTGATGTTCCATAAAAAATTCTCTATGGATGTTGGTGGAATTCAAAACTATGCATGTCATTCATTTCTGTACTATCGCTGTAGTGTTTAAGGAAAAATTTTATTTTTTGAACAAGAAAAATAAAAGACTGGTGAACCAATGGTACTTACTCAGATCTCCCCAATATGCGAAACCCATTTTCAAGCTTTAAGTTGTTTTTAATTCGAGTAATTTCGGTTCGATGAAGTGTGTAAAAATTTTCGTTTTCACACGCGATTTCAAAACCAAAATTATGCGCTCAATTTTGTTGCTTTTGTAAAAATTTTATTTCTCAAACCAATCTAATTTTTGTAAAAATTTTCTTCTTCTATGGAGAATCAAAAAAAATGGTTTCTTTCAAATTAAAATAAAGTAAAAAAAATTTCTTTTTTGGTTCAATCATAAGTAGCAATGCATTTCGAAAAAAAATCGTTCTTTCCTGGCGAAAACCGATCCGTAAAAAACAAAAATTTCCTTTCCGATAATTTAAACTTTTATGTAAATAAAACAAAATTCAACACATCCAAAAACGAAAAAAAAAAACTTATTTTAGCCATTCGATAATATTTCTTATAATAATTTTAATAATTTTACATAAAAAAATTTTTGCAATAAGAAAACGAAGATCAATCTTTTTAGCATTTTAGCCAATAAAATATTTAAGAAAAAATTTAAATTTTATGCAGAAAGAAAAAATTAAATTCGATGCTCAAAATTTTTGATTCATGCATGCATGCATCGATATTCCCTAAAAACCAAAGGCGAACAAACAAAATAATATAACTAAACAAAAATAAAATTTTAAAATATGGATTTGTAAAAAAATAATGAGCCGTCATTTTTTGCAATTCGTTGAGAGAAGGCAAAAATATTCAAAAAAAAATAAACAATTTTATATCTCCTTAATAAGTAATTGCACTTGTTGCCATTTCATTGATTCCGCAAACATTTTTGCCACGATACATACGATAGTAACCATTTTCGCCCCATTTTTCGCCCCAACTGTTTTTGATAATCCAATATGGTTTATTGAATTCCACACCGTATCCCACAATAAGAACACCATGATTGAGAAATCCTGGCAAACAAAACCATTTGAATGGATGCGTGATACCGCGCCGATAAAATTGCAAATTATTTGCATTTACTCCTGCAAATTCATTCTTGATAAATGATTCATTCATACAATACATACTACAAGCATACGAAATAATTTCAGCAAAAATGCAGACGTGCAAAATAATTTCAGCAAAAATGCAGGCGTGCAAAATAATCTCAGCAAAAAAGATTAAGGCACATGCGAATCTTATGTTAAAAAAAATTCTGACATATAATTACGCTGAACTGACTTTTAATTTCATTATCGTAACTATAAAGGATTTATCAAATGTTATACACTTAAAGCATTAACATATATCACAAAACATGCATTATGTTGGATAGCACTCACCATTCCTCATTAGTTTCGCTCCACTGATTATTAAATAGGCTGAGAGATATTTTTGCAAAGGAGCCATTTGGGAAAGAAACAAATTGGTCCTCGCATCACCCGGGTTTTTTTAAATTATATATTTACTGATGAATATGCGCTAGGATTGAACCATCAACACTTGAAATGATAAGCTAGATGATTTCTTTTGCCAAGCTTCCCTATAAAATACAATTGGAGAATAGGTTGAATATTTTTTATCAGTATATTAACGGTTTGTATAATTCGATTTAGAGATTATATTTAGGCAAATCGCTAATTCTATTAACGATTATACAATTATTTATAACAAAGAAATCTATCAAGAAATATCAAAAATCTAGGAAAATTTCAATCATATTCATATTTATTTCGGAAGATCGACGATAAGCAAATATTGAAAATTGAACCATAATTTATTCACGAAATTAATTTTCTCGAATTTAACTATTATGGCTCAACTGAATATTTCACCAGCATCGATCACCAAAAACATATGGAAATTCAAGAAAAAAAAAATCGTTATCTTTTACGATGAAAATGAAAGATTTTTAGATTCAACTTTTTTTTGTAAATATTATAAGAAAAGTTATTGTAAAATGTCAATAAGTTATTGCGTATATTCGGAAATGACAAATAACCTGTTTTTTTTCCTTTAATAATATTTTTTTTAACTATTAAAAAGAATAATTCGACATTCTGTTATATTATAAAATAAAAAAATAAAATTTATAAAAATAAGCTGGAAAAAATTGGCGAAGAATAAAAAAAGAAAACGACATAAACATTCGTTTAGACTTTGCCTTGCAAATATTGACATTTGACATACAAAACGAACAAAACATAAATTCATCAGCATTTTTCAGCATGAATGAAAGATCCATTTTGTTGCGCATAAACTATTATTTTATGCAAGTAGAAATGAAAACACATAAATGAAAAACCTAAGAAAATAACTCCAAATGTATATAAATTCGATGATTCTATAAATGTTGTATAAATACTATATAAATAGCAATAATTCGAAAACGAAGCGTTTTATTATTATTTTTAGTAGCGCTGCAATCACTATGAAGTTGATCATCTTGTAAGTTCTCTCATTATTTTGATAAATCCATAAATTTAATAAATCCATAAATTTACGAATATATAAAATCGATTAAGAAATTAAACCAACGAAGATTATTTTGAAAGATTTCGTGAAAAAAACCGTTACAATCAAAAAATTTGATTTCCTCCATTTTACATCATTTCAATTTTTCTTCATCGTAATTTTTAGACTGATACTACTATTTTCTGTGGTTATACAAGAAAGTGAAGCTTGGTCTTATGGATATTATCCATATTATGTAAGTCGCTTTAACATTCACAGTTTTAAATGAATGAGAAATGAGGAAATGGAAAAATTAAAAAATTTTCATAATACCCTATTTATTTGATTTCAAAAATCTTGATGACCCTGATCAAATTCTAATTGGTTGAACATTGTATTCACTAAAATTCGCTGAATATACAGATTAATTTCAGTATGGATACTATTCGTCATACTATCCATATACTCGGCTTTACAATCCGTACTATTCCTATGGAATGGTAAACTACTGGATGAAATGAAAATGAAAAATTCTCGACATTCACAGTTACCAATCCAACAGCGTTACGTAATCCTTTCTCATTTGCGAAATACGGAAATTTCGTAACTGCACACGTATGATTTTCCTTTATTCACGCTAACCTGGTTATTTAGTGATAAAATACTTTGATAATTTTAATACATCCTTTAAAAAATGTTCAAAATGCTCTGCTTAGCACACCCTGGTCGAAATTGGATTATTTTCTAAATCTTTTTTTTGTATATCTTTCTTGAATAAAAAATTTTTCATGCAATGTCCAGTAACATTACTTCTTTCGTTCTCAAATTACTTTCACATAGCGTCGAATGAAAAAGATCAAGCGACGCACTCTTAGGCCACCTAAAATCTATGTCACAGAATACCTGAATTAAAAATATAGTAGCCATTATCTTCTATTGCCTAAATAGCATCACTTTATCAATTATTTTGTCAAATTTCTGAGACAAAAATGGATTCAAATCTCATTCCTTTTCTTCTATTAATAGATTTTTTAAAATCCATTATTCATAGTTTATCTAATTCGCTTGTTCAATATTGTAAAGTACCAGTCAATTACTGTTACTTAACGGGATGAATTATAAATTAAACCACTACCAACCACCTTAATTTATAAATAAATTGAAAAAAAAACGAATAGGCGAACAAGCGACACCATCTTTTTTCCTACTAGTCGATTAATAGGAAACTAAACTTTTCTATAGTTTGGTACTCTTATTGTGCAATATCGTTAAGCCAATATTCCTCAGAAATTCGATCTCCTATTTGTAGAAAATATTGACTGCCCATACATTACCAATCTTTATTACCAACCTTTACTAATAACAAGAAAAACCTGAAATAGAAGGTTTTAGCGGACAATCGATTAATGTAAAATCATAATCTTGATCAACATTTTCGGATAAAATTAAATTCTTCCATTTTACATTTGTTTCTGTAAATACATTCCTAATAACATCAACCAAACTTATACTCTAATTAAATATATAAATCTGATCGCTGCAATGAAATACTTCTCAATTCAAATCTACTGATTCTAAATTTTCTTGGTTTTTGCTAATACTGCTATCAGAGCCGCAATTAAATCAATTATTTATCTACAATCCTTTTTCTTCTGCTTTAATAACTATGTTGGCTTTATCGCATAATATTTGTTAGATGAGTACTTCAGATTGAAATTAGAATTTTGAAAAAATAATTTTGTTTCTTTGATCTTCGTTGATCTTTAAGAAATTGAAAAAAAATTAAAAGCAGACTGCCATTCTATATTTTACTAAAGTTAATTATAAAAATTGTATAAAATTACTTTCTCACCATGGTAAGGCCTCCAAGATTAAGGATTCTGCAGAGTGCCTTAGCTCCTAGCAGTGCGTTCTTCCAGATAAAGACTTGGTATTGCTATAACCTACCACCAGTTAAAGTGATTAATTTTTTTTTCATTCAGAGCCCATAGTAAGTGAAACAATTCTTCACTCAATTTTTAAAAAAGGTATATCTCTCAAAAAAGTCGCGAATTTTTTCGCTCTTAAAATTTAAATTGAGATCAAAATTTAGGATAGATTAGAAGTATGGAAAACGAGAAACATGAACATGGAGCAAATCAACGAGAAAATTCCAAAAACTGAAGTCTGAAAACAATTCGGAATGAGTAAACCAAATTCGGTAAAAATTCGGTAAGGCTTTACTTTGCTTAAATTCGGTAAGACTTCTAAGGATCCATTATTTTCAAAGATGGCATAACTGATGAACCTAGTAAGATGAATAGAAGAGTTTTCAGAATTTGTTATATTTTATATGGAATAAAACGGCAACATATTAAAAGCAATTTAAATCAGCAATGAGTACAACAGAAATTTTCAACCTACCTGATCATTATTTCATGACATATTTGTTTTCTGGATTAAATTAAGGTATTAAGTGATCACATTTTCGAAAAACAGTCATTCATTTTGCAACCATTTTTACGCTTTAAGAAGCTAGTAAAATAATTTATTTTTCCCCAAAATAAGTAAGATAATTTTCAGTACCTTAAAAGCTAAAGTAAAACCTAAGACTTTTTTAGACATAGAGGAAATTATTACAGTCGTAACCTCCTATATTCTTATACGGTTTGAACATATATTTAATAATCTAAACACAATACGACATGCTAATTTTTAGTTTCGCAAGATATACAAACAAACTATATCACTGCATTAGAATAAAGCGAACGAAATGTTAATTAAAACAAAACATCATTATTGTTAAGGATTAACTAACCAACAGATATCGGCCCTTTCTGCACAAGCCACGCAGCCATTGCTGTTTCATTGGATGGTAATTGAACTGAATCGTTGATATAAACCGCAAATTCACTCTTCGTTATATGACATTGACCTTCATGTCCTTCATAAGGATAAATATCTTCAGGTTCTAAACCACCCATTCGAATGATCTCTCTAAAATTTGTTGTATGATTGAAAAAACAAAATTTAATACCAATTCAATAGAATTAAAACCATTCTTTGAAAAAAGCCAATCCTTTCTACCGATAGAAAGTCTGGATGAGCAAATCTGTCTATATCATTAACTGATAAAACGAGTACTATATAAGAGTACTATATATATAAGAATCTAAAATAATTGGCATTTCATTTCGAAAACAGAACACCATGCAAACAAATAAGATTGAAAAAGGAATATAGTTATAAGATGTTATTTCCATATAAAATAATGTATTATAATTAGATATCTAACAAATTAATGTCGAAATATTACAAAGAAATAAATATAAATATCAGATATCAGACAAACTTGTAGGCATTCAGAGGCCAACCGCCATTACAGCCATGATCCAAAACATCGCAGTCCACGAGTTGCTCCTCTGACAATGATGTCAAGTTACCCGTTTTGATTGCCCATGCACCTTCAATGTTTCCAGTCACTGAAAACGCCCAGCAACTACCACATCTCCCTATAATTAAAGAGTAAAGCAAATCTTTGCCATTAATCAGTATCTGATAAACAAAATACCCATTTGCAAAAATAAATTAGTCCATGTGGGTCCTTTAAGAAAAAATTCAAATTCCATTATGATTAAATTAGATCACCTTGATTTTTTACAGGAGTAACGACATTTTTCTCTCGCCAGTCGAAATTTTCAGGAAGATTATCTGTAAAAACGTCATAATCTTCTATATTAAGAATTTTTTTCTCATTTTCTGTTGTATCCCATATTCTTGGCAACATTATCTGAAATGTAATTATTTAACTATAGAATTATCAATTGTCCTTTTATTATGTCACGTATAACCACTTTTATTCCCAATAAATTATTTCAACCAAAAGAATGCTTGCACAGATTGAATTAAAATCGTTTTAAGTGGCACTGTTGAATCACCACAAACCTTTTTGAACTCTGAAGGAGACATATCGCTGAATTCATTTTCACCATACTCAGCAGACCCTAACTCATTTATCTCCGCCAGCTTTATCATCTTCAAATTTATTTTATATACATGGAATCGCTTGAGAATTTCTTTAACCGAATTGTACTTCCGATTATATCTACAACATATTTCAAAAAAATGATGATATTTTACAATTAGTTTTTATAGATGACTATTATTATATTCTTACCAAAATAATGGAAAAAAGTTCAATAGGAATTAGCAGAATTAACAAGAATTCAACTATCAAAATTAAAAGATCATCGTACACTTAAGCAAAAGAATAATTCACATACCGCAAGATAAATTCCTTGAATTTGCTCCACACAGCAAAATCTTTCTTTTTTATATGTCTTAGAATTTTCATTGGATTAATATGATTGAATAAATCGGCTTCGTCAACTTCATAATCACGATCATATTGATAATCTATGTTACTAAAATCGATGCGATTATTGAGGTAAATGCAACAATTCTCGAGTGATACCTTCTCTAGAACATTGCTTTTCTACAAATATTTCAGATGGTCTAAAAACGTTTTGGTTGGAACTTACTTAATTTGTTGTCCTTCATAGTCTGCACATCCTAAATTTTTAATACCACCGACTATGATTCCACTACGTTGAACGAATCGTACTTTACATATCTAAAAGCGAAATTTTTATGTATAGTTAATTAATTAAATATTATCATTATCATTATAACTGGTGAAAATAACCTTGAAAAACTCAAAATTTTCTAGTCCTAGTACTATATTACATAATATCATATCATATATTCAGCATATTATTTAATAAAATTAATAAAGGTTGAAAGATTAAAAAGATATGATACAAAAAATGGGCAATTCCATTAAGTTACCCCAGTTCTAGCCCAATATTTTTTCAAAGAATGAAAAGATAAGCTATATATTTTTTAATGTATTAATACTAGAATATTATAAATGATAAGAATAAAAAATTGAAAAAATAAAAGATTACCTGTCGCTTTATAGTTTCATCCGATATCTTACAATTTCTCGGGTTCACATCGGTTCGTTCGACTTCCTAAAATCCATTCTGTTTAGAAGACTAAAGAATCAGATCCATTTCTTCAGATCCAAATGAAATTTAACATTGAAAAATAAGCATAAAAATCAAAAAATAGTTGACTAATATCTGAAAACAAATGAAATAATAAATCCAAAATTAGACAAATAAAACTAAATCATAATAAACCTTTAAAAAATATTTACATCTTTACTGCAGTTCGATGGTACGATGATAAATTCAAAACTATGTTTGATATATGGATATTTCTGCGCAACTAGTCGTGATCCAATAATTTTCCACGGTATCCAATAATAATCACTTGCCTCGTCTTCATTCAGTTCTTGTATGATATTCCACGAAATATTCTACAGGGAAAAAAAAATTCTTTTTTTTCAAACAAATATTTCAATACATATATTTATTCATATACAAATATTTTATTAGTTTTTTTTTTAAAGCTCTGACCATATTGTGGTTAAGCTTGCTCAGTTGGCTTGTTGGACCATCCCAACTTTGCTGGCAAGTCACAAGACGATAAGGTGAATCACCAGCATCATCATCCAGACTTTTGGTAAATATATTTATTCTAGCAGAATTTCCATATCTGCGCGCCGAAATGGCAACAACAACAACTCAACAAACTCTTGTTTACTCTCCAGTTTATTAATTTAACGAAAAGTAAATATTTTTCATCGATTAATAAAGAATATTTCGTTAAAGTCAAATAAATTCAGCGGAAAAATTTAGCAAAAAATCAACCTCGTAAAAATTGAGTTTCACCTCCGATTCATGCGACTGATAACAAATCGAAACTATCGAAATTATATAAAACAACTGAGAACTTTTCATTTCTAAAACATTCAATTAATAATTTGAGATGATAAAAAAAAATTTTTTTTTAGACGATTTATCGCGATAATTCCTCTCTAAATCATTTTAAAATATTAAAATAAAAATTAACCGCTGAATTAATACTAAAAATGAGAAAATGAGCTAAGAAAACTTAATTAAATAAAAATTAACACAAACGCAAAAGAGATGACAACTAAACAACTGACTGACTATCTGCCCTACCACGTTGTAAATTCAATCACCCTGCTATACTCGCATTTTGCTAGTGTTATATCAGAATGTATAAAAAAGTTTCACTTGAATCACTCGATAAAAAATTATTCATTCATTTTCAGTATAGCATATTTGGAAACCCAACACAAAACTTCGACACAACCGTCGTCGTAAAGAATCTCACCGTGAGCAACTTCCAAATGATACACATACACACATCTCAAACACATATGAACCCCGATAATCGACAAATACAAACCACTCGCTCCCACAATTAACTGCGATAGCTAATCCCATCCCCACTCCTACCCCCAATGCTTAAAAAATTTTATATAACAAGATTAACACAAACACAATATTATCTCTCGCAATCTTTAATCAAACTCCTGAAAACATCAGACAAACCGCACTTCACAACCTTAGACTGGAACCAATTTCCAAAGAAAATAAAAACTTGCAATGTCTGAGCAATTCCAAAAAAATCCAGAAAGATCACGAGCAGAGAACATGAACATTAAATTCCCAAAAGAATATTCCAGCACCAACTGAACGAAAGAGATCGTTTCGATTACGATAAAAAATATAAGAGAACTCGAAAACTACTTCAAGAACAATATTTTATAGCGGCAAAAACACCACGATGCAAAACAGAACATAATGCAAATATGCTAATGTTTTTGTGCCGTAAGATATCAGCAACTTTATGATAAAATACAAAAATAAAACCTTAATACAAATAAGCACTTGACATTTATTTAACAACAAACTATAAAAATTAGTAAATAACTGCTTAAGCATAACTCAATTGGCCTGTCTGAACATTACCACCCGAATTGTGTCAAAGTTTCTTGATGAAATCATTCTTAAGTTAGGAACTGAAAATATTTAAACACAGTTGCTTCTACCTGTAATAACTATGAAACGTATACAAGAAATAACGGATAAACAGAATCAAAGTATCAATGGTACGTCTATTTATTTTCTTCTTTCTTTGGCTCCTCAGCGGTTTTAGCTTCCTGCGCACCGCCTGAAATTAGAGAAGTGAAATCGAGAAATAAATGGAAATGCAAAATATGCGAAATAATCAAGATAAAGGCCTGGGAATCACCAACTACACTCAAACATAAACACAAGAAACAGGAACTTCTAAAAACAGGAAAAACTACTGTACCTTGGTTTTTTTCAGCCATCCTCTTGTACGCCGCCTCAAACAGTTTTAGCGATCTCTGCTGAAGACTGTTCACTGATTCACGAATCTTTTCAGATGTTTCATTCTCCTTGTTAGCTAAAACCTGGCGCACTTCGTCGAGTTTTGTTTTCAACGACTCAACCTAAGGAAAAAACTGTCAAAAGACTAATAATTTGTTACAATCTTAAATGCAAAGCATGACAAAAAATAAACGAAACACAGAATAGTTCATTGGATATTTTAAAAATAGCACTTCATCAGCAGGCAACTGGTCCTTAAACTCGGTGAGTTTAGATTCCGTATCATGTACTATACTTTCCGCTTGATTGACCGCTTCAATCTTTTCTTTTTTTGCCGCATCAGCTGCAGCATTTCGTTCTGCTTCTTTTACCATATTTTCAATTTGATCTTTGGACAATCCTCCAGAAGAACGAATAACAACTGTAAAAATGAGGTGTAATAAGACGATCCCTGATAGCCCTTGATAATAGTTTCTGATTGAAGATTTTTTTTAATGAAAAATAAAACCATCAAACTGAAAAAAATTAACTCTGTTGCTCTTTTCCTGTTCCCCGATCACGAGCTGAGACGTTAACGATACCATTCGCATCAATATCAAATGTGACTTCAATTTGTGGTACACCTCGCGGTGCCGGTGGAATGCCGATCTGGAAAAGTTGTAATCTGCCAACTTTTCCAAAATTTCATATTTTTTAAGGATTCATATTTTATATTTGTATTATGAACTACTTGAAAACGAATAATTACCAGTGAAAATTGTCCTAACAATTTGTTATCACCAGCCATATCACGTTCGCCCTGATAAACTTTTATTTCTACCTGGGTCTGCCCATCCGCAGCAGTTGAAAATATCTGAAATCATATACACAGTTGTGGACAAATGAATTGATGCGCTTTTGCATTCCTACCTGATCCCAATTTTCAAGGAAAATTAATGACACAAAAGCAAGGTTACCTGACTTTTTTTCGTAGGAATGGTAGTATTTCTAGTAATCAATTTTGTCATTACTCCACCAAGTGTTTCGATACCTAAAGACAACGGCGTAACGTCAAGCAACAGTACGTCCGTAACGTCACCAGCAAGAACGGCTCCTTGAATCGCCGCGCCGATAGCAACGGCCTCATCTGGATTAACCGCTTTTGAAGGTTGCTTACCGAATGTCTCTTGCACTGTTTGTTGCACCTATATTAAAAAGTAAATGCATTAAGATTTTTCGCATAAGCGTAAAAACTAGTGCAAAAGCATATATTTACACTTGGACTTACCTTCGGCATCCTAGTCATGCCACCGACTAAAAGGATTTCACCAATATCAGATGGTTTCACTTCAGCATCGTGCATTGCTTTACGGCATGGTTCGATGGTTCTCTTGATTAAATCACCCACAAGTTGCTCAAACTTTGCTCTTGTAAGCTTTATATTCATATGCTTAGGTCCTGACGAATCCATAGTCAGATATGGCAAATTTATATCAGTTTGGGCTGTGGAGGACAATTCACATTTCGCTTTTTCAGCTGCTTCGCGTAAACGCTGCATGGCCATAGGATCCTGAAAAAATTTTCCTAAAATAAAATTTTAAAATAACCGACAAACTGAAAAAATAATTTAGAAAAAAATTGGCTCAGAATCGCTGCTGTTTCATTTCCGTCCGCGGCCTCGAAAGGCAACCAACAACAAATCAATTCAAAGTGCTAGAGGTAAAACATCATAGCCAACAAAACTTCGCTATTTCAAAAAAACGATATGAGCTTTGGATATTTTAACTTCAAAAATCCGAGAATTATCCCATACCCTCTTTATGATCAAAATTCCAATTTTTAACCAAGATGCTTGAAATACCTAGCGAAATATCAAAAAAAACTTTTTTTTTTTAAATGCTGTCCCTTTAAATGGGGACATTCACACAATTTCCAAACCAGAAGTGGCCATTTAAAAAAAAATAAAATTAAAAATCATAAGATTATTACATTATGCAAATCTATTCCAGAATCTCTCTTGAATTCAGCCACAAGATAATTCACTAACGCATTATCGAAATCTTCACCGCCGAGAAAAGTATCACCATTCGTTGATTTTACTTCGAAAACGCCTTTCTGGATTTCGAGAATAGAAATGTCAAAAGTACCTCCTCCCAAATCATACACGGCGATTCTATAATGATAAGAGTAACCAAATTTGTTGAAGCCGAAGTTATATCGATATATTTATAAATTGTTATCACATGAACCACTCAGATTTGAACGAAATTTTATTCAATTTTTAAATTGTAATAGGAATCATTCAACTTACATTTTATCTTCAGCTTTATCAAGGCCGTAAGAAAGTGCTGCGGCAGTTGGCTCGTTGATTACGCGCAAAACATTAAGACCAGCGATCTGACCAGCATCTTTCGTAGCCTAATAAAAAAAAAATGAAGGAAAAAGGAAATCAGCAAGAAATTTAGAGAAACAATTGTTTACAGAACTAAACCTGTCGCTGGGAATCATTGAAATACGCCGGAACAGTAATCACAGCGTTGCTAACTGTTGAACCCAAATAACTTTCAGCAGTTTCCTTCATTTTCATTAACACATATGCACCAATCTAATGAAAAAAATATGTTTACTGTTAAATTTATTAAACTTACTCTTGAACTGATCAACCTTACAGATTTTGTAGGTTAAAATAAAATAGAAAAAAATGTAAATAAAATGTAGTACCTGAGAAGGAGAATAAACTTTGCCTTGCGCTTCGACCCAAGCGTCACCATTAGAAGCACGAACAATTTTAAAAGGAACAACCTTTCTAAAATTTTTAAACTGGATAAAACAAGCAATTACTGAATGTTACACACTTACATATTTCTTACATACAATCATCAAAAAAACAAATCCTAACAAATCCTTCTGCACATCAGATTCATCAAAACGCCGCCCAATCAAGCGCTTCGTGGCATATAAGGTATTCTGTGAATTCGTAACTGCCTGCCGTTTAGCTGGTGCACCTACCAATCTTTCACCGTCCTTGGTAAATGCAACAACTGATGGAGTAGTCCTAACGCCTTCCGAATTTTCTATTACCTATAAACATTCGATGAATTGGTCTCCACAACAAACTACAACTATAATAGCTAAAAACCGAAAGATTTTCAAAGCGATTTATTTACTCACCTTTGCTTGCTTACCCTCCATAACTGCTACACATGAATTTGTCGTACCAAGATCAATTCCAATAACTGCACCGCGTACTCCACTAGATCTTAAACCATATAATTCATATCGCTAATATTTCAAATATTTCTAACTTGAAAAACTTTCAGTTCAAATGTTCAAATTTAATTTACAAAAAAAAAAAAAAATTTGCAAAAAAGAATTGATGAAAATTTACTTGTAACGCATAAATGCACTATTATTTAGCGATGAATTAATAAAACTAATTCGTAATGAACGACTACACGTTGCGAGAACTGTTGAACGAATTGCCGAGAAAATCATTTTGCCAGAACCCCTTTTCTTTAAGTTTTACCTCAAAAAATTCATTAATTTAATTCTTAAATAATAATAACTAATAAATTGCATTATAAAAACGAGGAAATCATCGAATAAATCAGCTATGCATTCTCGAAATTCATTGATGCCATGTTTAATCTCTTCTAAAATTTTGAATAATATTTGCATAAAACTTTCGTTCTCCTCAAATCCAACTTGTTTTCAACCGAATGAAAGACGATATTTTCTAAAGAAGAACAGAACATTTAGCGAATCCGAGTAAAACTCACGCATCATTCTGAAGGTTCTATTAATGTTGAATATTCCTTTAAAAGTCTAATAAAACTATTCACCATTATTCACAACGAATAGCAATAATATGCGGTGATAACGATAGTGATAAAAACCTATACAAATTTCCATTGTGCTCAATACTACCAACCTTTAATATTTACATTAATAATCACAAATTTTACTAATAGCTTATAAATACCACAAAAAATTTTTCATTCCCATCTTAAATCAAAGAGACCACACACGACGCTATGAGGCAAACTCTTTCCCGTTCGACCACTGATCGAACTTTCCAGATTTTTCTTTCCATTCCAATTATCACCGATTTCCACAACTAATGAAATCATATTTATGTTTTAATGGTTATTTTGTACTTAAATTTCTGTTAATGAAAATTTTTCGAGAAAATCCAACAGTAAAATCACTTATAAACAATAATTATTTCGGAAAATTTCTCAAAAAATTCATTTTTTAAACAAAATCAAAATTCCACGAAATTTGATTCATAAAAATAGAAGTTCCACATTAAAATTCTTACTGAAACATATTTTTCTACCAAATTTGAAATAAAAACCGAGAATCCGACGAATAATCCCAAAGTGAACAAGAAGAAATTAAAGATGTTACGAAATTTTTCGCCAAATGTTTTCGTTTCAAGAATCAAATTTTTCCAAATTTAACCTCGTAAAAAATTTTGTGGAAATTATAGGTATCAGAGGGGGTGCAGTAGGGGGTTGGCGAATGTACTGCTCGTATTTAGGTCAAAGAGCGTAGATTTCTACGCTTGCCAGACTGGCGTAGGTCATTAAAAATGAGTGCTCCTCACGACTATCTTCATTCTCAATCCTCAAGCGAGTGATTCTCGTCGAGTCTTTCATCCTAGTAATTTGTGGAATAAATAGATTCAAAGAAAAGGCAAGAATAACTCGAAACTACTCGACAAATACGAAATAGAGCGAAGCTTTAGTGGGAGAAAAATAAGAGACGACCGCTCATTTCGATGGATGGATGAATAAATTTTACTTAGCCAAATATTGACCCCTAATTTATAAGCATTCATTAAAGGTCAAACTATCAATATTTAAAATAGTATTTTTTATGTGAATAAATTTTTTTTTAAGAAAAAAAAAAATTTTAAAATTAAAAATTTAAAAATTTATTATTTTTATTAAAAATAAACGATTTATAAAGAACAATATTGAAAATGAAAAGAATCGTCTAAACAAATTATCATCAAAAGCCTTTTGTTCTACAATTATAAATTTCAAATTTTTTAAAAAATTTTTAAATTTTTTTTAAAAAAAAAGAAATATATTTAAAAAAATTTTTTCCACCCTATTAATAAATATAATAAATTGCATTTAAAAAAAAACAATTCATTTTATTAAAATTCAAAAAAACAATAAAATAAGAATTTATCTGAATCGAAAAAAATTCCCACACGTCTCCACGAAGCGATGGATGCATCATGGATTCCAACGACTAATTTTAGACGACTAATCATTCCTCTAAATAGTTCGAATCGTCGTCGAACGATGCTCTCGAACAATATTTCCACTTGAATTATCATCGTTTGTATTTATTGTTTTTTTATAAAATATTTCCCATGATTTGAATGTTGTTGTTGTTTTATGCATTTCGTCGAAAAATAATAACGATCCTCGATGAAGCTAAAATTAATTTTCAATATTAGATTCATTACGGATTATTAATTCAAACTTACTTACTTATTTCGATGGAAATCAAGTAGAGCAAATAGTCATACGCTTATATTAATTGTAAAATAAAATATTTGTATAAAAAATTTTTAAAAAAAACTGAAATTATAAAAATGAACCGAGGATGTCTAATGGATACCATTTTAGCCTTACACACGGTCTGCTTAAACTCTGAGCTTTGAGCCATTTGCCAATAAGAAAGTTCAGTGAAGTAAGTTCCTTCACTGAAGTATAATTTTCGCATAAAATAAAATCACTTACAGTAAATGCTGTAATACAGTAATATTTTACTGCAGATTACAGTGATATATAATATGAGAAATATTGGTAATTTCTAGTGATATCAAAGTCAATGGTAAGATTAAGACTAGTAAGGTCGTTCAACGGTATTCATAGTTGTCGGAAATGTTGAATTTATGAAAATTCGAAGATTAATGGATTGCAAGGAACATAGATATTTTTCCTGTTCAAATTCACGGTCATCATTTCACGAATATTTTATTTAATATTTTTCTATAGTCGTTTTGTATGTGCAGAAATTAGTAAATTTGACGAAGCAAGTATTTAGCACTCATTCTTTCTTTGCGATTAGTTCAGCTTCACTCAACTGTTAGTGCGATTTTCATGGCGTTAAGAATGAGTCGTCAGCAGCTATTGCTTTCGTCATAAATTCATAAGAATAGAATTAATTATCACGAAAACAAAAGGAATTTAGTAAAATTATCAAATGACATACATGTGAATCGACAATGAAGCTAATAACTGGATCGACGAAAATACGCAGTAATAAAGTACATCTGAAATAGACTTTATTGCTCCTTTAAATAGGTTTCCTCGAGAATTTGAACATTTGCGAACCATACTGCGACGCATTTAAAAGTTATTATTACCTCGAATATAACCGATATATTAGTTGTTTAAAACCTTCGAATGGGATTATCTTATTCATTTATTTTTTAAAACATTAAATCTATGAACATTGCTAAAATTCCTTTTGCGAAAACGATCGTAATTACGATCGCTTATAAAACTATTTGTTGATTAATAAATTGTAAAAGTAAACATACAGTAAATCGACAAACAAAAGACAAAAAAATTTCACCTGACAAATGCAAGTATTAATTGCATTTCAGAGAAATTCCTTTGATAAAAGCAACCATCATGTGTGACATTCATGCTAATGCACCAAATAACATAAAATATGTTTAAACCTCCAAATGTGGCAACGTTAAGCGCTAATTTATACAATGGAAAGCGTGGCCCTTTTGTCGAAATATCGCCATTTGAGCGAAATGAATTTATTGTTTTTTGTTCTTTCTTTAGTAATGTCACTGTTAAACAATTATTTATTATATAAATTAAACTCTTTTTACGAGTCATTCGAGCAATCTTTTGATTATTTTTTAGATAATTTTTTGCTTATAAAAATAGGTTTCATAATTATCGACTGACTGGTTTATCAATATCAAATCAAAAAACTTTTAAATCAAAAACTTAATAGGCCTTTCATGGCTAAAACTGTGGTTCTCAAAGAGATAAGAGCTCCCTCTGCCAACCCAAAGGGCATTGTTTTGGAGCCCATAGAAAAAAAATGGAGAAGTCCACGGTATTATTAGGCGATCACTCTAAAGTATCACATAAAAGTTGAAATCCCATATCGAGAAGTATCGCCGATTTACCCAAAAAATTATTCACTTATAAATGGGTAATCTATATCAAATCATATCTTTGTCGCAAAAAATCTTTTATTTATTAGAATAAAAATAAAACAAAAATAAATTATAAGTAATTGGTGTTCGATGCAGAGGATTTACATAAAAAATTTTGAATTTATATCTATCTTACCAGTAATAGCAAAAACAAAAATAGTGAATAAATAGACGGCTACGGTGATAGAATTTCGAAAGCGATACATAGACATTTGACAGGTTTCTAGCTTGCATCCAGACCATTCGTTTAACACAGGGATTTTCGTAAGAGCAGTCACTGTTAATGTGTAAACGACCATTAGGGCGAAGATAATCCAACTGAAAGCTTATTTACTGTTCAATCCATAAGAGATTCATCCATAAATCAGATATTTGACTTCTAATCTAAAATTATTAACGAGTATTATTATTACTTGCATTAGCAGTGCCATCATAGAGCGTCGCCTTCTCTTACTTAGAGCTCATTATTCGTTGTCCCACCACAAAGGTTGATCCATATTTCGTCATTTGCTATGATGGGTGATGTCAAAAGCGAGGTGGGCCAGTCAAGACCTGGACTAATATAGTCAAGAAAGATTTTAAACGTATAGGTGGATCAGCGATACGCGCTTAGACGGTAAAAAAGAACGAATTCATTACTATCAGCGAAAGCATCAGATCGCACTGCTTGCAGACGTCTTACCCTTGTAGCCAGCGAAGCCAACCTAACCAGTAATGCTGAGAGTTGTTAGAAGAAGAAAATATTGTCACAAAATAAAATCGTTTAATAGCCTCAAAATTTTTAAATGAATGTAGAATTTAGAGTTTTGAAAAAGCTTTGCAATAAAATGTAATCGTTTGACTCGAATGATTCGTATTTGATTGCTATTATCTTTGGTAAATGCAAACGCTAACTGAATTGTATATATAAAAAATCGAATAGTATTTGTCTTTGATTAAGATTTTGATTTTAAAAGCGTTTTTTTTCAAGTGCAACAACCTGAAATGATATTCGATTTACCTTAATGAAATCAAGTAGATACAACGCTTCATTGTTATTTTCTCTCGATAATCAATTGGTTTCCATACAGCATAGAGTTTCAATAAACTTATTGAAACATAAGAAATCATTCCCGACCAGAAACTTGCGACAAAAAATAGCTCCAATAATGATACGATATCACGACTAAAATTTTCTCAATAAATCGTTAAAATAATACAAAATAACCGAAATGATAAATTTTATTTATTTTAAAATGTTCCTATGATGCGTTGCTTCAAAATAAGGTGAAAGGCATTATTATAGGTCAAATTAAACGTGTCATCCAAAGTGAAATCCAAGTGCTACTGGAAATCCATTCCTATCTCTATCTTTATGTAACTCTCTGCTGAAGAAGACTCACCCCTCGTAAATAACTAGTAAAACGAGTAAAATCAGAAATGATGAGTGCTGTTGGAATGGAAGAGAAGTGCTTTGTTTATTGTTAATAACTTGAAAAATTGTGATAATATTTTAAAAATTCATACAAGTTCTTTCACATCCCTAAAAAAAACTGGAATTTTTTTTAAAAATTTAGTTTACAAAAACACCAACTGAAAATTTTTTGCAAATTCACTGATTAACCTGTAGATAATCCAAATTTCTTTTAAGATTTTCTCAAAATGAATTATATTATGAATTAAACGATAAATTCTATTAAATATTTAAGATATTGCAAATTTGCTATTAAAATGAAATGAAACTAACTTTGGATGTTTGGAGATCAAAACATAAAATGATGTGGTAAGTGCCGTAATACATCCGAGAATATCACCAATTGTCCGATTTATAAGTATCACATAACATTTTCGCCCAATTCGCTTACTTCTTATTACTCGAGAAACGATAAATATATAAAATATAGCGCATAAAAGCGCGATCACAGTGAGAGGTAGCGGTAACCATCCAAAATAAATTCGATAAACTAATTCCAATCGAAACTGGCGATTTTCCTAAATTAACATTTCATCAATAAGTCTTTTTTTTTCCGTTTTTCGTTTTAATAAATTAGCTCATTTAAAGCATTTTAAGAAATATCGAATAATTTCTTCGATAAAGCAAACCAATACTATCATTTTCATATTTTTATCATAGAAAGATGAATTCTGAATTCTTCGCAAGAATTTCACAATACGTAGAGTTTAATTCATATGGTTGAAAGGATTAAAGGCTTTCACAAGGGTTAACGTTTATTGCACCTTCAAAACACAACAATCTTTCACTATCATATTCTAGCATCTGGTTTCAGAACCATAAAAATAGCTTTTAAGCGCACCAAGTGATTCTTTTTCACTACTAAAATTGTCCTATAGTAAGAATGAGCGACATACAACTTTTTAAAGTGAGCCAAGTTGGAGATTAATTATTTTTTATTGGCTAAATTTTTATTGCTTATTTGCCTATAATGCATGAATAAGAATATCCAAAAATCAGCGCTTGAATCAGTAGTTTCGAAGTTTCGAAGTTGAAATTCAAGAAAAGTGAGAAATCAGCAAAAATTACGATTAGTTTAGGGAGAAAATACCAAAAAAATATCAGATCACAAATCATATACCAAGTGTTTTGATAAAAGGCCCATGAAAAATAAGTTGGCGATGAATATTTTGCCGAGCTAACCTCAACATTTTTCAATGCGCTTGAAAAATAGTTTTACAGGATGAGCAATGATGGTTTTTCACCAATGCTAGATGCTGAGAGCAATTAGTATTTGTTTTTCGATGAGATGTGTTCTTTTCTAATATCATTTATTTTTATCACTCTATTCATTTGAGCAGATTTTTTTTGCAAAAAAATTTCCAAGATCAAATAACTTTTTTCTAAAACTTTAACGAAAAAATACTGAAAAAAAAGAAGTACGATCAAGTAGAATAATGGAAAATAAGTAGTACAATTTTAATAGCAATAATATTTGGAGATAATCTGCTGCCGGAATAACCAATAAAAATATTGAAATAATATGGCGTTGAGACGAGATTCTTGGAATTATTTTTAAATGTTCTTTTAAGAAGAATTTCACAAATTAATTCGCACCTCTATTCAAGAACCAATAAAAAAACTAACTCTAAAGATATCCAAGCTCTCTTCAGTTGTTAAATTCGAGAAGCATTCGGTCCTTATATAATGGTGGTTCATTCCAAATAAATTTTCATTTTATTATATTTTCAAAACTCAGAAAATTCTTTCAACGAAACGTGGAAACTCGTTTCGATACGATTCGCATTAATACATAATGCAAACACTAAATTAATAATTTTTTTTAGTAAAAATTAATTTAATAAATGAAAATAAAAAAATTTATGAATTTATGATAAATTGAAATATGAAAGCGATTTATCATAAAATTAATCATTTTCAAGAAAATTTAGAAATTTTAGCATTTTGATTTAAAATATCTTTACAGATTTCAAATAACATTAATCAGAATATGTTTTAAACATTAACGAAAATTTAATGATTAATTTCCATAAGATATTCAGACTCTATGTTTTTTCGAACCAAATAAATTTTGCTATGGAGCTATTTAGCGATAGTATTACAGGTAGATCGCCAGTATTAGCCAGATTTTTGAAAGATTTACTCTTACGAGAAGTGGAGCCTCGGGTGCTCTCGTATGTACACTCCGAAATGAGAGCAATAACCTCATGAGTTATGTTATATGTTAGGTTTCACTCATTTTTAAACATAGTCATCATCATAATCGTTTATTCGGTTATCAATCTACCGGTATTAGCATTTTTTAATATCCGATTTAATAATATGCTGGAAAAACAAATTTCGCATTTTTTGGAAATTCGTAATAAGTAAAAGGGATTACAATGCGTTAGTGAAGAGACAAAAGCCACCGAGAATCGGTGATTGAGTTCGAATCCGTCGGCACACTACGCTTCATCGGGCGTCAATGTCTTCTAATGGAGAAAAACAAAGGAGTTGTTTCTCAATTCGGAACGCCAATACTGAAATTCTATTCTCGGCCGGAGTAGACCTGTCCAAATATCTGGGTGATGCTGGCGACTTACCTCAACTCCAGTCGCCAGGAGACTCGCTGACATATTTGTCCAGTGCGATAAGCCAGATTACCAGTAATGGCGAGTGCTTTTAAAAAAAGGGTTATTTTAGAATACATTATGTGCCAATTATAGAGATTAGTATATTATCAAAATGATTGAATAACATACGACAATTGGAAATAAATTGAAATAAAAGGTGAAAAAATAATAAATTTTTTAATGGTGATTGAGCATCATTCTATTTTCTTTGAAGTTATTACTGAACGAAGCGAAGTTTAGTATTTTTAATTGAGAATTTGAGCATTTAGACAAATCACAAATCACAAATCACTTTGCTTATGAAAATCTAAGATTTTTAGAATATTATGTAACGTGCAACTCTTATTCCTATTTCTGTTTAGATCTATTCTTTATTGGTTTAGACGGTGAATTACTTGGGCATAGAATTATACATTTTCAGCACAGGTTGGTTTTTTCGGTTGACGAAACCTTTATGGAACAGTTGCGAAATTACCATAAAGACGAAAATCCTCGTCCATATGGCTGCAATTTGCTCGATCCTGCTATATGTCTCTGACCAGTAAGAGCGGAGGATATTAAGAAGTTATCTTCCTTTGACCACTCTTGTCTATACATTTTACGGGTCTGTCGAGCGGATAAAATATCACATGATCGCATCAATTTTCGCTCAAATACCGCTTGTATAAATAATATTATCACAGAGCGTCGCCTTTGCTGGTTAGGACATCTATTCTAAATTGCCCACTGCAAGAATTGGCACATACTTCATTACTTGCTAAACCCTGTGATGGGTGGCGTCAAAAGCCAGGTTGACCAATCAAGACCTGGACTGACATAAAAATTTTAAATATATATGAGGACCAACCATATATGGAATTAGACGATGGAAAAAGGAATGCCTTCTATTCCTACTAGCGATCAGATCTTGGAAATATCCTTCCAGCACAGCCAACCTAATCAGTAATGATGAAAGTTGTTAGAGGAAGAAAAAAAAGAAAAAAGCGCACAGGTAGAGAAAGAGAAATAAGAGTACAGGCTCAATGCAACGCAAGCTCTATTTTTTTAATTAAAATCTGATTAAAATCTCGTCAGAAATTGGAGTCGAACTATGATCCTTAAGGTCGCAATCCATAATACATAATATCTATTCGGCTATACTACCCCGCTTCATAATATTAAAATATTAAATATATATATAATCCATTTTAATAGATTTTAGCTTTCGTTTATGCTTACGGTATAAAATAGCTTTATTATTATAAATAAATGGTCATTTATGCTTGATTAATAATATAATTCGTTTGTATTACTACTAGAAATTAATGAACATTATTTATTCAAGTTAACAAAAATTCTGCCATAAATTATTTGCTAATGAGTTAGCGATTCCTTTAAATAAATCAAGAAAAGTACTTTGCAAACGCAAAAAACCTACGCTTATTTTAAAATTCATTTTATAGAATACGATGGTATATTTGATATTAAAATAAAACATTATTTTAATTAACGTTAGCATAACGAAAAATTTTTTTTACTAAATAAATGCTTCTATATACTTCGCATAGCAACATTATTGCCGTTATAAATATTTTAATTAAAATTTTACTATAAATCGAAATTTGACCGTAGAGCAATAAAAAAAACTTGTTATTTGATTTAAAAAAAAAAAACTGTTACAAATATTTCGACACAAAATAAATAAATAGAAAAAGAAAGAAAATAGCGATTAGCATTACTATTGCAAAAGTAAATAAATTGTTAATAGTAGTGCAAAATTTTTAAGTATCCAATTAGTGTAGTCAATTTTTGTATAAATTGATTCAACAATCATGGATTATCACCATCCCCGCTTAAAATTAGCGTCTTAATTATTGCCATTATTATTATTACAATTTATTACGGTTAATTATTGAATGATGAACGATTGATGCTTACTAATTGTCGTTAGCTTAGTTCAGTTAGCTTTTGGTAAGCTAAGAAATTTTTGCCAAGGAATCACTCGGAGAGAGAATTATTATAGATATAACGCCACCACCAAATATATTTTTTAATAATAGGTTTGCAAATATACTAATTAATAAGCATACTAACTCGAATAATTAATTATCTTTCAAGATCTCACGATAATTGAAAATACTAACCGCTCTGCTATCTTTCTATTCTTCTATTCTTGATTCTCGACTAATTAAAAACCATTTATAACGGAGTTGTAGTCAAAAGGACCGAAGATGACCGAACGATGACGCTTGAACTGATAAGCATAATAATTAGCGGAGTTTTCGCTGCTCTTCTCAGTTAATTAAAAGTTAAACCGTAAAATTGTTCTTTCTTTTTTTTTATGCTAAATAATTTCTTTCTTCTACTGAAATATATATGTCACGTATCAAATTCGTTAACGATGATGAACTTTTGCAAAACGTTGAAAACATCAATCATTAATTATGCCGATTTTTGCAAGCAAATCAAACAAGCATTCAAGCGTTTTAAGGAAAATCAAAAATTTTTTTCTATATTTAATTACACAAAAAAATATTAAAAAAAAAAAAAAAAAGCGATGAATGAAAAGAGGTGAAATTTATTTCCAACAAAGACCTGTTATCACTACTTATATGCATTTTGCCACCGACGAACTTTTCTATAAATTAAAAATATTTTCGATTGAAATCGTGTTTTCATTTCTTTGATGACTTCATAAAATTCAGTTAGATTTAATTAAAATTGTTCATCTTTTCGAAGAAAGTGCTAAATTAATCTAATTTCTAATTTTGACTAAGCCAACTAAGAAGCAATGGTTGAATCCGCTGAACAGCTAACCAGTTAAGTTAGCATTTTACCATTTCTTGTTAGATTCACTTCACTGGCTATTAGTATAAAGAAATATTGGTCAGCTGTGGATAGAAATATCTGTGCATCTTCAGTACAAACCGAATCTCTTAATAACAGATTAACTCCTGTTAGGATCCTGCTAGGATTCTAGGATCCTGCTAGGATTAGCAGTTGAACTACGATGCTTGAAATGGTGGTCTAAGTAATAATTATTATAGAAATTAACAACCATTAAATGCATTTTAAATTTGATTAAAAAGAAATAAGTCAAATGAACGCCAATTTTCAAATCAAGTAAAAAGTGACATGCCAAAATCCTTCTTCCATAAATTTAGCCATATTAATATTTTCCTATAAGAACCTTCTAGCTTTTTGCCATTGCAGATTAAGACTTGCATAAAACTGGAAATAAGAACTAACAAAATTCATGAATAAAAAAAAGGAACAAATGTCTGGATTTAAGTAAAACTAAATGGTTATTAGACACCATCTGGCAAAGCTAAATCAGCTGGCTGTCGAAAATTTTCACTATGGAGCCATTGGACGATAGAAATATATCGTCCAGTTCATCATCCGGATTTTTAATGATATGGATTACTCTTGTCGAGAGCAAGAGCAGAACTCATCTTCTCGACATAATAATCATTATCCACTCAGCCCCACAAAAAAAATATTGAAATAATTCATGTGAATGAAAAACGATCCAAACCGATATGAATCGAAAATGCAAGCTAAGATAGTCGTTCAATTAATTTCCGTTGATTTTGTTGATTAACTTCTTTATCATTTCATTGATTTTATGATAAGGTCAAATTTTTGAAGTTTATGCTCGATCTTGTTCTTTGTACGATGAAAAATCGTTCTGTGGATAAAACGTAATTTTCAAGCATCATTCATCAATCAACTTCACCATCAACATTAACATATAATAATCATAATCTGATGGCGAAACTAAGATTGAGGTAAAGTTGAGATAGATCTCCAAAAAAAAGAAATATGCGTGAAAAAGATATTTAAAATTTTCCATGTTAAAAGTTAAAGTTAAAGGTAAAGATTAAAGTTTATTTTTAATTCTTTTTCTTTAAACATCATCCTCCATTTCTGGTTTGCCTAATTCCATAGGGCTAAGAACGTCACACAATTTTAGATGATTATTTCATGAACCACTTAAAGATATATACAGATTTCAGATTTCATTTTTAATCAAGGGCTTACGACCAAACTTGTGCTTTAACCCAAAGCGACGATGCTATTCATCCATCATCACTTTCCAAATGAATTGTTATATTTCATACAATAATTCATGCAATTTTATTCAGTAATACCACAACAGCAACAGAAGAATGTATTACAACAATATATGTATTACATGCGTGAATTCTACTACAATTCTCAAAATTATGAAAAAATTACGATTGGCACGAATGGCAGCAATCTTTTCATTTTCAAAAAATTTTCTTTCAATACTCCATGAAATCAGCTGAATATTCCCGTATAGATTAATGGCACCAAAAAAGAAATTTTGCTAGTCTTTACAAAAGATAATGCGATTTGCCAATACGCTAATCAACCGCCAATGTGATTTTATTTTATTATTATCTATAATAAGAAAAATCTAACCAAGAATTATAAATTTTTCCATATTTAAGCTTTCGAACATGAACGCTTAAAATCGATCGTTTAACATTAGATGGATTATTTGCGATGGTTTTTAATATGACGGTTACGCAAATATGGCGAAATATGACGGTTACGCAGAAATTACGAGATCGTAGTTTGATTTTACGCTAATTAGCATTTCGATTTGCCAATTTTTCAGCGATATTTCGTATATGTGCAAGTAGTACGAGCATTTTAAATTCGAGTATTTTAAAGGCTAAAATAAATTAAAATCATATAAAGCTTGGAAGAAATCCGAAATACCAATAAAGGTTGAAACTGAACGAAGATTTTTTGCGATCAACTTTTCAATGTTAGTTTGAAGCTTTCAAAATTTTCTGCACGCCAATCGTAATAAATTTCATTGCAAGGATCGAATTTACGCCATATTTTCCGAGAGGCAAACTACTAAAAATCTAATTATACTTGTCCTCCATCATTTAGGATGATATCATAATGTGGCTTGGGCGACCTTCATCGATCTTGGTTTTTTGCATAAGAAACAAAATATCGATAGAAATTCATAGCGAACCTGAAATGAATTAGTTTTACATATCAATATTGATGGGTGATAAATTCTCACGTGATGAATACTTTCTTCGGCCTGATTCGGATAAATGATAAACGGCTTTTTCCGATTAGTAGCAATACACATATAATTAGAAGTTGCAAAATATGAAAAAGAGGTTTTGAATAGCTATAAGCGAATGACGGGCATTTTTCAATCATTTCAACTATTGTGGTTAATGCTGAATAAGATTATCAGGAAGTATCAGGAAGTATATACATGATGAAGTCGCAAAAATATAATAAATCTAAAAAATAACCCGAATTTCGAATACAATGCCAATAATGATATCTGTAATAATGCGAAGCAACATTGTGCATCTGAAATATATTGGATTTTAAAAAATATTGCAATTTATCGATAAAAATTGAATAAAAGGAACTATCATTAAAAATCATTACTTAAGGCTACGCGAATAATTTTTTACTAACCAAAACCATAAAACGAGATTAATTTATATCTTCCGTTCTGCGCTGAATGCATCAATCACATCTGGTGTGTGATGAGGGGTCCACATACGGGTTCATCATTAAGATTATATTCATAAATGAGGAACTTGCGGAGAACGCTTATCAAAATCAAAAAAATCATAATAATCACAATACCTTAATAATCCATAAATTTGCTGTACGGGCATTTTAGTTCTGAATGAAAAGCATCTATCTTGTATTAATAAAAAGACGGTGAAAATGATATAAAAACTTTGCCAAATCGAAAATGTAGCAACATTCAAGCCCAGTTTCCATAACTGAAAGCGATGAATGCTTTTTTCTGAATCAGAACGTGCCGATTTAATATTATTTGAAGTTTGAGGATATCGGCGAATAAGCGTTGCTAGAAATGGCTTCATTAAGTACCATTCGCATGAATTCATTTATAATATTTCGCTTAACATTACTTAAAATAAAAACAAGTGTAATTGACTCAATAAATGTTTTATCTATTTTTATGTGGAATGGATAAAATATATGGATGATTCTATGGAATATGAATATCTAAAGTTTCTCGTTAATATTAAATTAAGGGTTGATATGCAAAGATGTTGATGAGATTTTCCATTAAATATATGCATATATTTTGCATTAAATTTCTTTATTTATCATTTTTAGTAATAAAATTTTTCTGAAACTTAAGTAATTCGATGAAATGCATTTTTAAAAAATGCAAATGCAAACTTGCCTGTCATTAGAAAGACTAGAATAGTAAAAAAATAGGCGACTGTCGTAAGAACCATTCTAGCCCTTATAAAGACAATTGTACAATTCTCTACTCGGCAACCAGACCATTTGCTCAACAATGGAAATTTAACAAGAATCGCTGCTGTCGTTGAACTCATCATTATAAGGAAGCAAATTATCCAACTGAAAAGTCGAAAATAATAATTCAATAGAAATATTTTTAACAAAATATTTTAGTTATTTTAATAATTCTCAAACTAATATTTCGCAAACTAATATTAATGTTTCTAAGATAAATCAAAGTATAGGACAGGTATCAAAGTTCGTAATTATCATTCACCAGAAGAAAAAAATTGCATGTTTCGTTCATAAAAGTTTTCTTGAGTAAAAATCTCTGTTAAAATCTTGGATAATCCAACCTTGTTATAACAAAATAGATACATTTGCGCATTGTTATAAATTTTTTATAATGTAAGGGCTTCCATAACGCATATAGTTTGCATAAACTGATTGATACGTACGAGACTGTAGAGGACCAGAATGAACCAGAGATACAAATGTCAAATGTTCGAACCACATTACCACTAAAACAATTATAATAATTATAAAGCTAATCCTTAGCTTGTATATAACTTTACGGTAACCAGCTGTCCAGCATTGTCTATCAGTTAGTCGAAAATATAGAAATAAAATCGCAGGAGTAAATCTATGCAAAAATGCGGGTAATGCTGGCAACTCACCTGTACATCTATCTTCTATCGCTAAAGGATATCTCGCATATTTGCCTAGTGCGGCAAGCCAGAGAAGCGAATCTAACCAGTAATGGTGGGTGCTCTCAAAAAAAAAAGTAAATAAAATAGTAAAGAATACTCGATGATATCTGTACTCAGAATATAGATCGTTGAGATGAGAAAGCAAGTGCATAGCAATATATCGCCAGTACAACGATTTAGCAGTAATACATAAATTTTTTTACTTATTTTGTTTGATCGAATACATCGAAATATAGCAATTGTATAAGGTAGGCACAATGTTAGGGCAACTAAAGATATAGGTAGCGGTAGTTGGCCAAAAAATGCATACAGAATTGTTTCAATACGTAGAATTCCACTGTTCTAAAAAAAAGAATGAAAAAACAATCATTTATTTATTATGCTACCAATAATAAATTTATCTATTTATTCTAATACTAAATAAAAATCTTTCGATAAATTTGATGTTATTTTCTAAAAATACTAAACTGAAAAGAAATGAATTAAAGAAAGAACAAAAATTTTTATAAAACATAAAGATAGCTGACCTCATAATTCTAAGGAAGAAAATTAAAAATTAACTTTGAATTCTTCCCATTCCTTTCTCGTTACATTGTCGTAACATCGCGTATTACGTTTATTAAGCATACCTAAAACGATCATTTATAATATTTAGCGATTTTTTTTTATAAATCGTACTTATTGAAATGATTTAAATGAATTAAGAATTCAAGAGATCAGATTTTAATAGCAAAACAAGCAATAATAATTGTCAATTTATACGAACAATAATAATAATGCATCAAAAAAAAAAAAAAAAACTCAGTAGAAGTTCATTCAATAGAGAATGATTTTATGATTTCAAAACCATAAAAGTCTTGAAGATATGAGATAATTTACTTTCTTCTAACAGCTCTCACCATTACTGGTTAGGCTAGCTCAACTACAAGGATAAGACAGTTCCAAGCTGCGTGATCTGATGCCATCGTCGACACTAAGAGAAGCCAATTCCTTTTTCCATCGTCTAAGTCCACATATTGCTAGTTCAACTATACGTTCAAAATTTTTCCTGACGTATCAATCCAGGCCTCATTTAGCCTACCTCGCTTTTAGCGCTCCATCACGGGTTTTAGCAAGTAACGAGATATGCGTCAACTCCTGTGGTGGATAACGGAGAACGTGCCTTAACCAGCGAAGGTGACGGTGAGATGAAGGTGAAGGCTCTGTGATAACATTATTAATACAGGTGGTATTTGAACGAAGATGGATACGATCAAGTGATATTTTATCCGCTCGACGAACTCCTACCTTAGACAAGAGTGGTCAAAGGCGGTTAATTTCTTAATATCCTCCGCTCTTTCACTAGCCATATAGCAAAATCAGAGCCATATAGCAAAATCGAAAGGGTCACGGCTATATCGATGCGGACTTTCGTTTTTATGGTGATTTCACGACGTAAGTAAGAACGCAGCTACCATGGTCCTGGTTGTAATATCGTCTTTTGCCTGGCCATTTAGTATTAGAGTGGACCCAAGATATTTAAAAATCGGGCACTTTCTCAACCGGCAATAAGTCTATAAAAAGAGGCATATTATCATCTTCTTCTATAAGACGAAAAGTTTTCCATTTTTTTTTACCCTGAGTCCGATTCTCGCTGCAGTTGTTGACACGCTATTTAGCATTATTTGCATTTCGTCATAAGTCAGCAAAAAGGACTACATCATCAGCGTATTCAAGATCTGTGATACGATGCTCTGGACTGATTTGGACACCTCTTGAGTACCAACAAGCGGTGCCCATTACCCAGTCTATCGCATAGTTGAATATTGTAGAGGAAAGGACGCATCCTTGACGGATACAAGGTCTTATTTTGAAGGAGTCTGTCAGTTCCCCATATACACAGATCTGCGCCGACATACGCTCATAAATGAGTACAATGATCCTCTCTGGAATACTGCCGCGTTCCATCACGCTCCAAAGCATCGTTCTTTCAGTTGAATGCAGCAGCAAAGTCAATGAAACACGTGATAGTAGGTTGCAAATATCTGAAGCGATGTTCCATCACCCTTCTTAACGTAAATATCTGGTTAGCACAACCGCGCCCCAGTCTGAATCCAGCTTGATTAGGCCGCGTCCTGCTGTCTCGTACTTCCATAAGTCTTTTGAGTGAAAAGGAAGCAAAAATTTTCGCTGAAACGTCTAGTAGGCTGATAATTCTTCGATAATTGTCGCAGCATGTCCTATCATCTTTTTGAGAATAGGGAGCAGAATTGTTTTGCTCCAATCATCTGGTAATTTCTTTTTCCCATACCAGAGAGTACATTTTTTGAAGGTGTGTTATGAAGGACGATGGACATATTTGAAGAGTTCAGCCCAAAGACCATCTTCTCCAAGAATCTTATTTGCCTTAAGCATATGGATAATGGATATTTCTTCCTCTGTTGGAAGCTCACAATTGCAAGCATATGGTTCGGCGAATGTATCAACTATATCAGGGGCAACAAATGGCTTTCATGGTTAAGTTTGGCTCAAATTCTTTCCATCTTATTAGGCGGTCCTTAATTCTCTCCTAAATACTCTTGACTGGCACACCATTTCCTTACCATTTCACTAATCGTTCCTCGAATTGCTTTATGAAGAAGGCGGAATAGTTTCCTATTACCGCCTAAAAGAGCTACCGCCTCCATTCTCAAGGCCGTGTCACACTAATAGTAATTTCTGTCCCGTCGTGCTGCTTTTGTTGATTCGTTTAATCTACGAAGCATCTAATAATCAGGATCTACATCTGACATTCATATTTTGGTAGCTTTTTCAGAAATTTGGACAATTGCTTCCACTAACCAACTAGCGGACTTCCTACTGATATGCCCTAGCGTGGAAGTGGCTAACTTTCGGAGACGTTCCTTTAGTTTGGACCAGTATTCCTTTGCCGTTCCAGAAAAGTCATTGGTCTTTATATCATTGAGATGCTTCAATAATTTGGTTTGAAACGCGCTCGCTATCCCCGAATTTTTCACTTTGAGATAGTATTCCAAAGAGTCCAAGGAGTATTCATCTGCGGTTCCAGAGATGGTACTAGTATCTATATCATTCATATCATTGAGATGCTTCAATAATTTAGTTTGAAATGCGCTCACTGTCCCTGAATCCTTTGAAAGACCTTGGGGTGCGCTGTTTCTTGTCAATTTTCAATTTTTGTGCGGATCTTGGTTCGAACTATAACGTGGTCAGATCCATGAAGATCGCCAGTTTCAGCGCCTCGATAGGAACTATCTAGTACGGAACTCTCAACGGCGACTGACTAAGATATAATCAATCTGGTTGAAGTGTTGGTTATCCGGGGAGTTCCACGTGACTAGATGTTTTATACGTTGCCGGAAGCAAGTATTAGTAACAAAAAGTTCATGCTCTTCGGTATAACGAAGGCGTTCTCCATTGGTGCACCGGTCTCCGAATTTGTCAATTGCCATATTTGTCAATTGTAGAGGCCATCGCAGCAGCATTATGACATGCGCTCGTTCCACGATTAATATCACGTCATGTTTCCGTAGAAATGTTGACAATTGAAGTTCCGCATAGAACTTATCCCTATCACAGTCATCTACAGACGAAGTGGAGCAAAAACGCTGGTGACCAAGATATTGCAGAGGTTAGCTTTAAAGCGGGGATAGGCTACACGATCGCTTACCGGTTTCCACTAGCCAGTATCTCTGCTCCAGGATTAGTTTTTACTCTAGGCCCGAAGTGAGGAAGACAGATCTCCGACAAGTAGGCGATACCCACACAATATTTAAAAAAAGTGTGGGCAGTGAATGATTTAGTTCAAGATATAGTAAATTTGTGCAAGAGATTATTTTAAAGAAAGTTCCACGACTAAGAAATTTATTTAATTTGATATGTAATGGTAAACCGGACCATCTTATTGCATAAAAATGGGTTTAAGCGTTCTTTTTTTTTCATCGTTCTTGTTAGGTTTGGCCAGGCAATTTTTGGCAAGAATTCACTTGGCAATAATGTTGCGGGATTTAGGTGATTCGCCTCCACCACTCGGATTTTTGAAAAATCATTCGTTCCGGGAATAGAGCTTCAACATCGACATTGCAATAACCCACTTAACCATTTCGTATATAAAAAATAAATATTTATTCGTCTTTTTATGTATGAATTTCGAAGTAATTGGAAAATAAAACAAAAATTGAACTTTTTGGTTTTTGTCTGTCAGGCAAAAATTCTTCGAAATAATAATAATAAAGGTAATAATAAAATTGAAGAAGTTTTCATAATAATTCATGAGAATTATCGTTTTTTGGCAAATATCTCATGCAAAACATTTTTTGGCACTTATGGTGAACTACAGAGCTAACGCAAACTTTAAAATCAAATTAGGACACAAGATAACAAAAATATCGTTGCTGAGATTATTGTCTCGAATGTTAGGCTTCTGATCCTGCCTTCGATTGAGTGGTACTGGTACTGGAGATTTCTTTTATTTCTAACACCTGGTTCATATCAATAGTCAGTGGAAAGGACCAAATCAGAAAAGGAGACCAGTTACAGTCAAGCCTTTTACATACAATGTGAAAGTTATTCGAAGTGCTACAGTCAGTACCTCTGCTCCAAGCCAGGAATTGATTAATTGCTCTCTTTTTTTCCAAATATTTTTCAACTTTGAGAAATTCTCTGAAGAAATTGCAGCTTTATTTCCGCAAACTAATTGTTATGATCGAATAAATTTTAAAAGACAAAACCGGTCTACCAAGTTGTAAGAAATATCATTAATTGTGGTCATCCATTTTCTAAGAATGTTTGCCTTGCATTTAGTTAAATAAAATTACATAATAAATGAAAAATCGCATACATTTATAAAATCATTTTGTGAAATATTTCGCTTCAACTACTAAAATGAAAAAATGAGCATGAAATTAAGTGAAAGAAGTTCGCCACTCACTCAAAGGCAAAAATTGTTGTAATAACCTGTTTTCAGACATTTGAAGAAAAGAATGAATACGCTGTTTTTAAAAGTAATTTTGAAATTATCGCGACCACGGCGATAATTTTCGAAGACATCGATACGGTTGGCTAAATGAATACAAAAGTATAAACGAGAGAACAATGATTCGGTAAAAGAATTTACCTTAGCAAATCAGTTTCCTTTCACATTTACAAGAAAAGTGCATAGAAAACTAGAAAATTAGGAAAAATTCCAGTAAATATTTTTTAAATAGCACAATTCAAAAATTTTTTGTATTTATTCGATTTTGAAAAAAAAAAATAAAGAATAAAATTCCATATAGAATTGTAAACCTTAAACTGCTATTTCAAAATAAAAAATTTAAGTACAAAAATTTTGCACGAAGAGTTGCAACATATTAAATAATCTGCAATATAATTCTAACATAGGAGGTGGAATGGCACACTGGATTGTTACTCAGTTCAGGACATCGATGCTGGAGTTTTATTTCCCGCAAGAGTGAAAATCCGGGTGATACTGGCGACTCATCTACACCTCAATCACCAAGGGACTCCCTGGCACATTTGTCCAGTGCGACAAGCCAGTCGAGCGAGTCTAAATGGTAATATTGAGGGCTATTTAAAACAAATATTTAATGGACTGTTATATAAAACTGAAACACGCTGATAAAGAAAGA